TATCAAGTGAATGAATGCACCTCACACATTCTCTCTGAATCATTGCAGATTACATATAAAAGAACACAATGACAACACATTGAGGCATCAGGTAACATAGCGCTCCCTAATATGCAAAAACACACACCCGATTGGCCTACAATAAACATGCACACTTATTTCAAATTCTCTTAAATTCTTTCCTCATTCGCAATCCCTCGCTGTAATAGTAGCTCATGCCTCGTTTTTCCATGCACACATACCTGGTTGTGAATAGATGTGGCAGTAACAGATGGAGCTCCATAAATCACAGCAACAAAGAAGAGTGTGTGGCCTATAAAGCGAGCAGCACTGTGGGGAGGAGCAGAGGAGAGTCCCTGGTCCGGTGTCCAGATCACCCAGGAGGCCACAGGCTTCTTCTAGAGAGAAGAACCACAGATCACACGAGAGGACTTCTTCTGTGTCCTCTTGGTCAAGGCCAGATCGGGTGAAAACGATTGCTTCAGATATCATTTTTGTCTGTGTAATAGAGGGCACAAATATGTCTGTACATTTGTGTTTGTGCAAATGTGTATGCAAGTGTGATGGTATAAATCTGTGCATAGGTTTATGTATGTAGGTCATGGGGTCAGATGGTTATGGTTTGAATATTTCCAAACAACTCCTGGTTTGCATCATTTTGCACTGTAAATGCATTAAAGTGTACTGTAGATTGCCAACATAACAGTATTGCATTACTCATAAGAATACATTTTACATTTTTATTTTTATGGTAGGCACAGGTAAAAGTTCTATCCAGCCATAATGAGTGACAGGACATTTTATGGGTTTTTGTTGGCGTTGTGATTGGGTAGCCAAACCCAACAATTAATATTTTTACCATGATTTTTTGTGTGTGACTACGCTAAGGTCAGTGTGATGTTCTCTTCTGTGTCTGATCATGGTTGTATAAGCTGCTCTCCAGTAGCCAGAGGGGACTTTCCAAACTCAGCACAACCAAACCACTATTCTGCGTTTCCTTTATCTTTCTCGTCACGGTTTGCTGTGGTCCGGTCATCTCCAGCGTGACCCGACAGTAGCACTCAGCAGAGAAACATGCTCTCTACAGGGCCAGTCAGTTCCTCCTCGAGCCCAGATTTAGACTCAAAGTTTCAGGCTGGACTCACACAATGCCGGCTTTCACCATCTGACTTCACGCATGACCGCAACATCTCAATGACGCCTTCGGCAGGATAATCTACAACCTCGCACACACACATAGACATCTGATGGAATGACATTCACACACATTCATGCAAACACAGCAGCGGCATTCAAATGAAGTAATATAAAGAGCTGCAGTGCTGCGTATGGCATTTAGTACTGTAGCTCACTGCTGCCTCCTTTTGGCTCTGTCAGGAACTGCTTTATCAAACGTATATGATAAACGTGAAGTTGCCTTTTTTGTTGGGTAATTTTGCAGCATGAATGGTTTTAGTGTCAGCACTTTTTTACATATACTTTAAATGTGTAATTTTAGCGATGAAGGAGGAACCCATGTAATATCTAGAAATCAGAATATTAAAGAGACAGATGGACAGTTTAGACCCGAGTCAGTAAGAACCGACTAGCAACCACAAGAACACTTTCCACCAGAGAGGCTCACACTGAATCTACATGTGCAGAACTTCACATTAAGAGCACATTTGACCAAGTTCAAATCCAATTCTGCAAAATTCCACCAATTTTCACCCAAAATCAGAGTGGAAAAACGAAAGAATCTGCAGATTCCGTCTGAACGGCTATATTTCGGCCAGTATCTCCATGTAATAACAATGGCTGTATTTTTCTGCGGTTTCATTGACATAAATGAGATGCTGTCTATACTCCATTTGTACATTCCTAAGAAAAATAACCAGCCTGTTCTCATCCCAAGGCGTCATACAGGTGACGCTTTTGACATTTCGTCGAAATCTTACGCACATGGCATCCTTTAGCGTCAATATGAGACGCAGAACCCAAGGCGTCATAACCGTACCCTACCCCAGACCTAAACCTACCCATAACAGTGCGTGTTATATTGACGCTAAAGGATGAGAATGTGTTGACTTGAAATAACACAGTAACCATCAACAATACACTTATTTGTGTCCAAACCGAAATGAAAGAGAGCAGTGCTGCTGCTCTTATATCAGACTAATGACAGCAACAGAGTTATTTAATTTTCATTCTGCAGTGTTTGATCAGACGCCAGAGAACAATGTGTCCGAGGCTCAACGGAAATGCCGTGCGATGCTTTATGGTTCAAACCTCAAGTGACGTGTTGAAGCTTACACCGTGTCCTAACCAGACGATGCAGCAACACACTCTCTTTTCCACACTGAAGGTCCGTTCACACTGACACCGGTTGAGTTGGTGATTTGAAGCAACGTGAATGATGTTGTTATTTGATAAATATAATGTAATAAAAAGTTTACTGACTCCAAACGTTTGAACAATAGTGTATACACATGTCCAAAATGTCATTAAGTCCAAACAAAGGGAAACTGTGACATATGCATGGATGAGAGTGCTTATTTCATCCATCCGCGCCCTAACGCGTATGACATTTAAAATGTCCAGCCTCAACCTGACAAAATTATTTCTTATTTTACAGCTTGAACCAATGACCACGCTTTCATGTACCCCAGTGATCATGGCGGTAGGTCACGTGTCTGGTGTCTAATGGCCTGATCTGATACAGATGTGATCTGCGGTCATGTCCTTTAGCATGGAAAACAACAGATCTGAGCGGATAAATTAAACTCATATGATGAAGAGGAGCCATCTAGTGGTCATTGCATTATTTACTTTAACCTAGTGATGATCTCAGTGCAATGCTTGATATCCCTAGTGGTTTCTTTTCTGGCTATTTGTGCATGTTGCTATGCTTAGAGTTTGTCTGTGCTGTCTGAGTTTAATACAGGAAAGCGGGGCGAGAGAAAAAGGGGATTTAGAGCACATTATGAAAGCAGCACGCAGATCCACAGAGCTCAGTTCTGATGTGAAAACATTCCAGAGCGGGTCACGTCTTTCAAGAGCACTTGTCATGAAGAATCAAAAGATTCCTTGATCTTCTGAGAGTAAAGAGTTTATTGCGCTATGAAAACAACTTCAACTTTCTCAAAATATCCTCCTCAGGAAAAAAGTTCTGATTTTTCCAAAATGTTCTGAGGTCAGACACATGAATACCTAAATATCACTCGCTGAGGTAATACAGAGGAAGCAGGAAAGACGCATTTATTCCTAAACACCGGAATAAAACATAAAATGCTGTCAAAGCAAAGCTGTTTCAGACTGTGTGTAGCACCTACACCTCTGCAGATCTGCCACTTCAGTCTGATCTCAATCATTTCATTCAAGAGTCATATTTCATCAAAGTTTCCTATTACGCCATTTTAAAAGCTTCCCATTTTGTTTGGTAGGTCTCCCATGACAGATCTACATGCATCACTCCTTTTCTCACAGTTTGAAAATGGTTTGTTCGAAGATTCAAGGCTTGTTCGACTTGAACCCCGCGCTGCAACGACCGATCGCTTTATGACATCAAAGTCCCGCGAGAGAGATTGAAAAGCATAAGGAGCCGTCTACTCTCTAATCGCTCTCGCGGGACTTTAATGTCATTCACCGATCGGTCTGTGCAGCGCGGGTTCAAGTCGAACAAGCCTTCAGTCTCTCTAAACCCCGCCTTTCCATGAACCTGCTCTGCTCTGATTGGTCAGATGACCCAGTCTGTTGTGATTGGTCTGCTCTGCTCTGATTGGTCGGATGACCCAGTCTGTTGTGATTGGTCTGCTCTGCTCTGATTGGTCGGATGACCCAGTCTGTTGTGATTGGTCTGCTCTGCTCTGATTGGTCGGATGACCCAGTCTGTTGTGATTGGTCTACTCTGCTCTGATTGGTCAGGTGGCCCAGTCTGTTGTGATCGGTCTCCTCAGCTCTGATTGGTCAGATGACCCAGTCTGTTGTGATCGGTGTACTCTGCTCTGATTGGTCGGATGACCCAGTCTGTTGTGAATGGTCTACTCTGCTCTGATTGGTCAGAGCAGAGGTCTGTTGTGATTGGTCTACTCTGCTCTGATTGGTCAGATGGTCCAGTCTGTTGTGATTGGTCTACTCTTCTCTCATTGGTCAGATGGCCCAGTCTGTTGTGATTGGTCTACTCTGCTCTGATTGGTCAGGTGGCCCAGTCTGTTTTGAATGGTCTACTTTACTCTGATTGGTCAGGTGGCCCAGTCTGTTTTGAATGGTCTACTCTCCTCTGATTGGTCAGGTGGCCCAGTCTGTTGTGAATGGTCTACTCTGCTCTGATTGGTCAGGTGGCCCAGTCTGTTTTGAATGGTCTACTCTGCTCTGATTGGTCAGGTGGCCCAGTCTGTTGTGAATGGTCTACTCTTCTCTCATTGGTCAGATGGCCCAGTCTGTTGTGATTGGTCTACTCTGCTCTGATTGGTCAGGTGGCCCAGTCTGTTGTGATTGGTCTACTCTGCTCTGATTGGTCAGAGCAGAGGTCTGTTGTGATTGGTCTCGCCAGTTCAGAATTATAATTTTTTTCTGTTAGGAGACAAAAACTTTATTTGTTGTGCCTTTGATATTTAAAACTTTGCAGACCTTTTACATTAACAAACAGCTAAAACACCAATAATAAAGTTAATATTTGAAAGCAAGATTTTGATCATTGGAAAAAGAGGAGCCAAACACACAGTTTCTATGAAGTGTCCAGGTAAAGAGTGAAGCCTCTTGCTGTAAAACTGTCATCAGGATTGAGGAAGTTCACAAAGTTTGATAAGCCTGAAATCAACACACTGATACTAAAAAACAAAAAACACCTGCAAGACCCAACAAGTTCCAACCAAACTGAGCTGATAACAGCTGACAGATCTGATAGATCCTTTTCTGTCTGTCTGAGGCAGACAAATACATCAGTCACACACAGTGATAACATCTCTCTGTAGTACTAAAGAGTCTCACGAAAGATTTTCAATTTCACATGCAAGGCAGAGAACAGTTAAAAGCATCTGCACTGTTTTATTCAGTAGCACAAATACTCCATAATGTTCTATTTCGACACTTAATTGTGCCTCAACAATTAACTGATTCAGTTTAATAGTGTGCTTACCTCAGCTTGAACCAGTACAGTTAAAATATACAAATATCTATAAATGAATAAAGTATTCAACTGTAAAGAACATTTTCAGGTGATATTTTACCTCAATATCAAAAGAAAATAAAAACATTGTTTTCATGAAAGTGCAATATGACCTAGACATGTTCTTGGTGGGTTTTGTGAGATTCACCCTAAAAGAACGATACTAGGGGAAAAAAGTACAAACTTAGCAAACTAGTGTAATAAAAATGGTCTAAAATTATTTCATACAAATCGGACTAGTACAAGCACGAAAAACATACAGAATAAAAATGTACAAAAGTTTTAAAATCACACATAAATAACATCATAGACTGAGTTTCTTTAAAAATTAATAAGATAACTAGTATTAGTAGATGTAGTGTTAAAACACACTGGCAGGCACAGGAGCACTACCAAATCAAAAAAATTTATATAAAATATGACATTGATTTCATATACAGCATATCTAGAAGTCTTTATATTATTGCTCTGCTGAGATCTAGTGTACACTGAGCAGGGAGGCGATGTAGACCCAAACGGAGAGCACGTTACCGGGGTACGGGTGCACGTGGACCGCCAGGGCAAACTCAACGTTTGGCGCTTCGGCCTTATGAACCCCTGTGCTGTGAACGGCTTCAATGATTGGCCGAATCTCGGAGAAAGGAAGGTGCAGGGGAAACCCAGATATCTGAAACAGAACAATTAACATGTATGATTAAATACCATCTTAATGAGCACGCCTGGCCCTTATTCTGATCTGAGAACAGTGTCAGCTAAACGAGCTAGCAATTGGGCTGTATGTCACGCTATTTGTAATGCGGGGTGTTTCAGAGAGACGGAGATCAGGATTGCAACATAAATATTTATTTACACAAACAAAACGAGAGTAAATCCATGCACGGGACAGGGAGAAGTAGACAAAAACAGAGTAAATCCAAAAACAGGGAAAGGCAGGCAAAAACAACTGACAACGACGCACACGATACATCCACAAAGGACAACAACGTCAGACACTGAACAACGAGAGGCTAACTAGCAACAGGTGAGGGTAATCAATCACTATGGCAACAACAAACAAGGGTAACTATAGAAACCAAGTGTACCAGTAACTAAACGTGAACGATAGGAACAGAAAATACACTTCAAAATAAAAGTCCAAACAGCAAAAACAAGAAACACAAAACCAGGGAACTTTTAACAGCGTAATTTCTAGCAGAGCACTCACCTTGTATTCTCCCAGAAGGCTTTGCAGCTCGAGGCGATGTTCCTCAGCCACCTCTCGTCCTCCGCTCAGCTCTAGTTTTGGCAGGAACTGGCGTAGCGTCGAGATGCAGTAGCGGTTCCAGCGAGTGGGGTGACGGGGACGCCAGTCCATGATCTTCTCCCTCAAAACCTTCTCTATCCTACATCACAGGAGCACAGATGTTTACTGCATGAATATCATTTCATAACATGCCCTAAAATATGTGTAGCTACAGTGGATGTGAGAAGTCCACACACCCCTGTTAAAACAGCTGATTATTGTGATGTAAAAAAATTAAGGATGCACCGAAATGAACATTTTGGCAGACACCGAAAATTCTATATATTTGAAAGATAACCGATATATTGGCCGATAAATCTAAATCCAAATTTTATATAATTTTTGAGAGCCTGATTACAAAAACAAAAGTCTCACCATTAAAATCCATGTCCCAAGCACACAATTATAAGGATGTTTTTTTATGTAGCCGACATGACAGACTTGTGTTGCATTAACTGTATTTTCCTTTTCAAAGTGATTCCAATCATATTTCAAGCAATTTAAAACCATCATGTCGAACGGTGCGCATCTGAAGTGTCTCAGCCGAAGGAAACAATAAATTATTTATCGGCTTTAATATATCGGCCAAATTTTCTTATCGGGCCGATAACAATAACATTAAAAATAAACATTTATCGGCCGATACCGATATGGTGGCCGATATATCGTGCATCCCTAAAAAAAAAATGAAACAAAGATAAATCAAATCAGACCTTTAACACGTTTAATGTAAAAATTACAATGCTACTGACAACCAAAGTAAGACATTTCAGAGAAAAGAGATGTTCTTCAGAGAGAAAAAGTGCATAAGTGTTCACACCCCTGAACTGGTGCATGTCTAAACAAGACTTTTACAACTAACCTGTCTTGTAACTCCACGGCAGCTGCTTTGTCCGTGTGTCTGTACACCAGTGCCTCCGGCTGAAAAACATCACTCAAAATCAATTCTGACAACACAATTTGTGACCCTGTTAAACGGAGGCCTGTGATTGGTGGAGCCGTCCTCACCTGCACACTAGAGAGGCCGGGGTCAGGGAACGATCGTGAGAAAAACGGTTTCCAGAGCTTTGGCTTAGAGACATCAAAACTCATTCTCATGGGTGCAGCGTATGGCTGGATATTAAACCACACCTGAGACGCATCAACACAAATAATCATACACTATTTGACCACATCACAAAAAAATAAAAGCCAGAGCACACTGGAATCAACTTCAGTGCAGCTTTGACAGAAACTGCATGTTTGTGCAAACAGGTCACACGTTTTTAAATAAGTTTTTGAATCTCTTCTGCTCACCAAGGCTGCATTTATTTGATCAAAAATAAAGTAAATATTGAGAAATATTATTTCAATTTACAATTTAAAATAACTGTTTTCTGTGTATATATTTTAATGTGTCATTTATTCCTGTGATTGTTTGTGATTATCATCAATGTTGAAAACAGTTGTGGAAACATTGAAACAACATTTATTTGAAATATAAATCTTTTGTGGCAATATTAAAGATTTTACTGTCACTTTTAATCAATTTAAGGTGTCCTTGCTGAATACATTTTTTTCTTTTCTTTTTTTTTAAAGGAAAACCTTACCCCAAACTTTTGAATGGTAGTGTATCACAGTTTCCACAACCTACATAAATAAGGCATTGACGAATTAGGTCAAATTTTTTAATATGTGGATTTTTACTGAATCGATTTCTTAATTCTAAACAGACTGTGGTCACAGTTATGAATATGCAACTACTGACATAAACCTTGTATTTTACTCCTTGTATTTTAATTTACAGTGAGCAGAATAATTACAACAACAACAAAGTCAGACTTATGGCAGATATGTACAAATAAATACGAATTTTCTGACTTTTGAGCAATTTCTTACTACTTTGTACACATTTTCATATTAATTAGAATTCAAATGCATTTTGCTTTATTCACCACTATATTATTGTTGATAATTGCTGAGAGATGCACAGTAGATTCATTTTGAAATTCTGTTTTCAACATTGATATTAATGAGAAATGTTTCTTGAGCATCAAATCATCATATTAGAATGATTTCTGAAGGATCATGTGATCATGAGAGTAATGATGCTGAAACTTTACAATAGATTCACATAGAAAACAGTTATTTTAAATGGTAATAATATTTCACAATATTACTGTTTTACTGCATTTTTTAATCATAAAAATGCAGTGTTGGTGAGCAGAAGAGACTTTTAAAAACAGTACAAAATCTTAATTATTCCAAACTTTTGAACAGCAGTGAATTTTACATTGATTGTAATATGTATTTTAGCACGGATGAAGTCAGTTATGTGAGTTGTATGTGGTTATACTGACGTTGTCTGAGTTGATCAGGCAGCCGATGGTCTGTAGGGGGCAGAATATGTCGTACTGTCCGTAGTGCTGCCCAGTGCTGGGATTCCAGATCAGATAGCGGTTCTGCTCATACGTCAGAACGTACGCTGTAGGGCCCTGAAACAATGACACAGGCATCAGACAACAACACATGTCCATCTCCACTGGTGCCCACTGATGTCAGTCTCACTAACACAGAGATGAGAAAAGCGTGATTTTGTGATTCTTTCAGATGCGGTCACATTAGCAAGTGGGTCCCTGTCTTCTGTCAATAGTGTAGTGACGTATCTATGGAGTTAATATTGTGCCATAATTAAACACATCCAGCATTTTGTCTGACAATCATAACAGACAGATATGCATTTGCATGCACTAGATTTGGTATTTGTTCAAAGGTTACATGCAATTTGTAGGATGGTTTGTATTTATTTGTGAAATATTATCTAGGCTCATTTATTTATATTTGCAAAACACAACACATATGTGTTACTCCTCTGCATTTTCGCTCAAATTGACCTTTGTACGTGCACATTGCTTTCTGTTTGTTTGCGAGTCGAGTTGTCCTTTCCAAAGCAGATCGATTTTGTTTTCAAAATGCTGGATTTGTTTGTTCAATTATGGCACAATATTAACTCCATACGCATCATATGAAGCACAGCTCACACACAAGTCACTGTGGTTCATACCAAGCTTTCTGTTGGTCAGTGTGGCGAATTCGCGTGACCAACTTGAATCTAATGCGAAATCTAGTGAGGAAATCTTTCATCCTCACCTGACATTCCTGATTGTGTGGATTCCTATTGAAATGACTGGACGTGACCTGTGTGAATTAGCCAAACACGATTAGCTTGGAAGCCTGTGACTGAGACTAACCTCGGGAATGGCGGATCCTATGATCAGCCAAGCCCGTTTCCCCATGGACAGGAAGTAGTTGCAGAGCAGAACTGCATGCTCCTCCTCATCTCCAGCTAGCAGCGTTAGGAATTGCTAAAAACAGTACAAATTAAACATCGAGCATATATATATTTAGTCAAATTAAAAATTATTCAGACACAGGATATCATTTTTTATAATTTTTTTACTAGTATATCTTTTTACTAGCGTGTGCAGGACACTATAGTTCATTAATGTAAGTGAGGAAAGCAAAATTAAAGTAAACTGTGACATTTTATACCCAACAAAAATATTCATACAGTGACTACCACTAAAGTTTATAAAAATTTAAGACCAAAAATTATTCCGACACTTTGACCGGACCGTGTTTTTTCTTTAATTGCTAATGTGACTTTTTACACACAGACTGAACACAATGAGGCATTGCTTGGTGATTGGTTGAGCTAAACTGGTATTATCTAATTGTGTAGTTAAATTTAACAGCTGACAGATATTCAACATCATTCATCTGTGAGAGTCTAACAGAAGGACGGACAAAACCAGTCAAATATCCACTGATTTGATAACTCTGAGTTACTGTCATTTTATAACCATTTTCGAAACTATAGCGAATAAACTGTGATAATGTAAGAAATGTTGAAGGTGTCGGAATACATTTTGGTTTGACTCTATATATATAACACAAACTCAAAGACCAGAAGCTTGAAGCAAATGATGAGAGAACCGCCTCACGTCGCATGTGCTCCATAAGTCACAGACTCCTGCGAACGACACGCTGTCTGGAAGAGAGGGAACGAGCGACACGTATCGCGCCACTAACTCCTGAGGAGAAAGACAACGGGAGGATGAACAGAAGGACAGCAGAGGAGGAGCGCCACAGAACGGGTGCGTGTGTGTGTGTGGGTACGGACCGCGGTCTCCTGAGGGCTGTTGGGGAGCGCGTCCAGCAGCTCCTGCGGGGGGTTCAGAGGTCGTATGAAGCGTGTGGCGAACACCGTTTTGCCGTTGATGTCGATGACGGTGGAGAGACAGGGCCGGTCGGGGAAATGCCGACTTGCCTCCTTCTCAAAGACCTCACTCGCTATCAGCAAACGCTCAACTTCCTGAGAGTCAAACTGAGAGGAGGGAAAGGTCAGAGGTCATTGAGCACAGTGGTTTCTCTTATATTCATTCATTTCAGCAAAATGTTAATGTTAGACATTGCTAATCTTAGATACAGTACATCCACTACCGTTTGGGGTCGGTATGATTTTTTTAATGTTTTTGAAAGAAATCTTTTATGCTCACCAATCAAACATTCAGTAAAAACAGTAATACTGTGAAATATTATTACAATTAAAAATAACCGTTTTCTATGGAAGCTTTTTACAATTCTGACCTTTTTCCCCCTCACAATTCCCACTTTTTTTTCATTTTTGTGTGGAAACCATGCTACAAATGTTTTCATTATTTTATATGAATAAAAGGTTCAGAAAAGAACAGTGTTTATTTGAAACAGAAATATTTTACAACATTATAAACATGTTTACTATCACTTTATGGCATCCCGGCTGAATTAAACTATTAATTAAAGAAAAGAAAAAAAAAATCTAACTGACCCCAAACTTTTGAACGCTAGCGTATAAACAAGTAAATTTGACATGGAGAGATATTACACGAACTGATCTAAACAGAACTCCACTAAAGACACAACACTGACAGGGATGTTCTGGGTAAAGCTCTATGATGCTCACAGATGCTGTCGATCACCACAGAAAATAATTTCAACTTATCTCTCCATTAGTGAAAACAAACACAAACCGTGTAGTGCACTTACATACAATCAAAGTCTATGGGGCAAGAAACTCTGAAATGTTTCAAATAGAAGTGTATCTGTTAAAGCACTTCCATTAATTGATCTACTTCAGATGTGTTTTATATGAGCTGTGAAGTTTCGAAACGGTCCTTTTAGAGGCGGGCTACAGTTCTGGCGTCCTGTGGCTGGATCTTTCTCCATGTAAACGGTCTCTTTCTGACATGTGCAAATCTCCCAGTTTACTGGCATTATAACTTCACACAGACAAGGCTACTAATAAATGTTACAACATTGATCTCATATTAACAGAAAATGTTAAAACATGTTGGTCATACTCCAAGAAAAGTGTGTATTTTATTGTAATTGAGGGATAAGTCGAAAATATTTGCTGTGGTAATCGACAGCAATTCAGATCAGATTGCGGTACTTGTACAGATCCCAGAATATTCCTTAATAAAACTTGGATATCTGGGATATCAGACTCCAAATCCGTTACCTTTACTTCCTTCATCTATTAAAAGCAGTCCAAAGACAAGAACAAACAGAGAGAGAGAGAAAAAGAGAGAGAAAAAAATGATAACAAATCTTACTTTACTCCTAAAAGCCGTTTTGGTTAAGAAGATAAGAATTAAAAATTCATAAGCTCATTTGTATCATCCCATAGCACACGATGCTGTCAGAATCGGCTCCTGTACCTTCTCTCTGACGGTGTCTCCAGGCACCAGCTGGGGTTCAATGGTGATGAAGAGGCTGAGGAAGGTCCCTTCGCTCAGGCTGCGGATGGTGTCATACCCCCCTTCACTGCCCAAACTGCGCTCCTTACTGTATCCCAGCAGCACTGGCGGAGTGGACACCTTAAACGTCCCGTCAATCTAAACCACACAACGTACACATTCAACTAAACAAAGATCGCGATCAATCAAACATGGATATTTTCAGCTTTACCGAAATAAAATAGCCAATCAAATTTAAGGGCGTTCACACTTGGAGTTTGGTTCTCTTTGCTATTTTGGTGCGGACTAAAAAAAGAAAATGATACATTTAGTCCTGGTTTGCTTTGTCATTTTGAACACCGAACCTAAAGATATAAAATAAAGAACAGCTTTTATGACGTATATTTTGCAACCGGACATATAAAACAATGCTGTGTTCTGGGATAGATGCGTTCGTTGTATGTGTGTATCTACATATGATGGTATTTTGACCCGCTGAGAACTGGTGAAGAGCATATATAATGTGTAAATGAGATAAAACAGCGTCAGGAATCCCTTTATCACACACAAATGTAGATCTGCCGTGAGGAGACGCGGTTCTGATCCTGTGATGGGACACGAGAAAAACAGACATGCTGGAGCATTCTGACCTTTTTAGGGTCACATCTTGTGACATCACATCCTGTTTTTGGTTTGTTTAGATGTCTTTTGGTCTATGCCGGGTTCATATTTCAGTCGAACCGCACCAGAATGCATTTGGAAGTGGATCTACTTTTTTGGTGTGCGCGGTTTACACTTAAGGCACATTCACACCAAGGACGATAACTGTAAAGATATAGTTCTAAAAATCTTTCTACATATTAAAGAATAGCATAGTCCACACCACAACTATAACCATAATGGCACAGTGAAACAATATGGTTGGAATCACTTTTTTTTTTTAGCTGATGAATGATAAAACCATTGACAGCCAATCAGAATCCATCCTGCTTTAAAGAGCTCCAGCATTTAAGAATAAACAGAACAATATCATCCGCTGGTGTGGACACTAATATAGGTATCTTTATAGTGAACAGGCCTTTATTCAAATGAACTGTACTAACAGAGTTTGTTTTCACTGAACCAAACCTGCCACGTGTGAACACACCCAAAAAGAGTTTGGGTTTCCATTCATACATGAAATCTTGTACTTCATTCCTTGAACATGACAGTTTCTACTAGAAAGGTTGAATGAAATGACAGAGACACAGAGTTTGTGTGAAGTGTCAGCGTTTAGCATCTTGCCCGAGACTGCAGGTAGATGGTGCTGAAGGGAATCTTGATGGAGCCGAGCCAGTGCCTCTCTATACGGGTGTGAATGGTGTTTCCTCTGTCCCTCTCGTCCTGAATGAGGAAAGATCGACCGCTCATGTCATCATCACATCATCAAGATTAACATGACACACATCTGAAGGTTTCTCACCTCCACCAATTCAGAGAGAACCTCGTCGAAGATGTTGATGAAGACCTCATCTCTGACCGACTGCAGACTGGTGGAGCTGTAGTCTCCGTTCGGGGCACTGAGTGAGATCGAGGAAAACAAGAGGATTCACATCAACTGAGGGAATAACACACTTCTGACTGAAAGCCCAGTGAACTGCCCACCAAACCAGCATTTTAAGGCATCATAGGTGCACTCCCAATATGAATGGACATTATGCGGCTTTCTAAGACAGCTAATTTTTTTGGCCAAATTGTATCATTGCACAATGAAAAAAAGGAACTCAGAACAAATGCAAAATTTTCAAGAGAAATAAATATTATTAATATACATTTATTAAAAAAATATGTATTTATGCTTCATTCAATACTGGGGAATATGAATTAAAAAAAAATTGTTCAAAGAAATAATAAATATATATATCTATATATAGTTTTCCAATATTTACGCTTCATTCAGTACTGGAGAATATCAATAAAAATGTGTTCAAAGAAATAATAAGTATTATTAATGTATTTTTTAGTCTTTATGCTTCATTCAATACTGGAGAAAATCAATAAAAATACATATTTTCTTCAAAGAAATAATAAATATTACTAATGTATTTTTTTTTTAATCTTTATGACTCATTCAATACAGGAGAATATAAATAAAAATACATTTAGTTAAAAGAAATAATACATATTAATATTGTAAATTAATTAAAAAAAATACGTACGTTTCATTAAACACCGGACAATATTAATAAAAATAAAATCTGTCAAGAAATAATAGATACTGGAGAATATCAAGAAAATAAAATAAAGAAATTATCATTTTTCAAGAGAAATTATATTTATTTTAAAAATAAAATACTGAAGAATATCAAGAAAAAAAGGCCTATTTTACCCCCATTTTGTTCTACGTGCTGTGGATTTTAATGCTTGTTAGAGTATTGTGTTATTAGTTTAGCAACATGCGGTTTGTGTGTTTGCTTGGAGCCGCTGACTATGTAGAGCGTTTCAAATGAGCCACGGGTGAGGTTTCATTTCAGTCAGGACGACAGCAGCCCATGTAGACAGCAAGCCGTTCACTAGGGCTACGAACAAGCTGATGTGATGTTACACTGGCTCTCCAAGCCTGACCTGAATGGCAGAACAATCTCCTCGTTCCAGCAGGGGTTTGGACCCTCGGCGGTGGACGTCTGAAGCACTGAGCGCTGGAAAGACACCTCCACAAACGGCCTGATCAGAGGCTGAAACACACATACATGAACACACACAGAGATAGTTAAAGGTGCAGTAAGCAATTTCTGAGAAAAGCTGTTGAAAATGTGATTATTTGTCTGTTCTGTGTATGTGCTGGAAAAATATGGTGTTTCTATGGTGCGAACAGGAGAAAAAACAAAGTGGACACAAAGGCAAGAGCTTTAGGACCAGCGTGAATATTTAGAAAATATTCAGAGAGCGGGTAGGCCTGAAAACAGACTCAGAGGTTCCTTTATTTTTGTTCGATACGCGAGTAACATTGGTTTTGGAATCAAGATATGCTGTTGTTGTTGTTGTTGAAACGTAGTTATTTTAGGGGCGGAGCAACATAGGGAGGGGTGTGTTTGTTTGGGTGTCGATTTCTAATATAAACAGCGTCTCTCAGAAATCGCTTACTGCACTTTTAAATATAATTTCAAGTAAAGGTACAGGATTGGTGCAGCGATGCCGTCATGCTGTTACCTGTCCGAAGGGCCACTCACTGCCCTGTTGGTGTATCTGGGACGGCACAGGAGCTGCAAATGGCTCTGTGAATGAGCGTCCAGACTTAGCCGACACAGGGGGTTTGCTGAAAATACAACGAACAATACATGAGCGAAAGCAGTCATTCAGTAGTGTCTTCTTATCGGTCAACTTTCCTGGGTGTGTACAGGTACCTGGCATTAAGTCTGCGGACAGGGATGTCGTATCCTCTGATAATGTTGACCAGGAGTTTGATGTCTCCATCTGAGAGGTTTTGAGCGGTCACCTTCTTCCTCTCCTTCCTGCGAGGCTTCAGGGGCCGCTTGGGCTCGGCCAGTTTGAACAGGTTCCAGCCCAACACCCTGAAAAAGCATCCGCTGAGAGTCAGTGTGGAGATATCCCACAACACACTGCAGTATTAGTGAGGGACTTCAGTTAACATTCAGCTTGAACAATAGACATTGAGACACAGGACTTCATCAGCCTCACATACAGTTTGTTTTTTTAAAGTCTCTTATTCTATCCTGTACACCCACAAACACACATCTACTAACAGATGCTGATGTTGAACACACAAAATAGTATTTCACGTCTCGACTCTATAATGTTATATTATTGAATTTGATTGGTTGAGCGGCATTCCAAGAGTGCTGATAAGGAAGTCCAACAACAAAGAGTTTTTTCAATGTTTGTTTCACTGTACTTGTCTGCGTTCGGATAGACTGTCAGTCTATGTATTAGTTTTTAATTCATTTTTTCTAAATTTGCGGAAAAAAATAGAATTAGAAAAAAAACTGTCATATGGTTTCTGAGAGTAAGAAAAAGCTATAAAGAAAAGGTTGTGAAAAAGCCCTAATATGGATATGATCTGGGTGTGTTTTATGCAAATTACTACCATGGGGCACGTGAGCACTCATTGAGAATATTCAAAATCCATTAACATTACAATGAGGTTAAGAAAAAAAATGTATGTGCAATTGTGCATACACATGAATTGTGTATTAGGCTAAACTTCAGGTTGAGAAGTTCTCCTGTGAGTGAAAATACAAACAATCGACATAAATATTGGTGAATGAGACGCACGGTCTTTACGAGCGAGTCATTGAATTATTTACTCAACTGATTAATTCAAAAACACTAGTGTTGATTCCACACTGACTTAGTTTATAATTATTTTAGCTGGCAGAGCCAAAGTAACTGACAATATTGTGTCTAAAATGCAAGGTTTTTGTTTATTGATCTACTATATAAAAGCAATATCATACTCCCAATAATGCTGTTGTTCTGAATATAAGCAGAGAAGATTATCTTGCAGCCTGTTCCTCACACAAAGCTTTAATCATTTTATAATGTTGGTCGATGTATGATTTAATAATATGGAAAAGAGCAGCTTGAACATTCAGCTAAACCTCTCCTTTAGTGCTCTACAAAGAAAGAATGTCATATGGGTTTGGAACATGATGCAAAGAGAATATAACTGCACACTCTCTAAAGCACATTTTATTATTACCAACGTTTCGGCACAACAAGTAGCCTTTGTCAAGGTATAATTCCTACCTTTGCAAGGAATTATACCTTGACAAAGGCTACTTGTTGTGGCACAAATAATAAAATGTGCTTAAAGTCCCCCTGTAGTCAATAATTGTATCCCTTAAAACTCATCTTTGAGTTTCATATTTTAACTTTATTTCCTTGAAAAAAAGTTATTCATGCCTTAAAATATCTTTAATGTAACTCGACACCCTTGCCTCGTTTAGTATACGTGCGGTTCTATGAATATGCAAATGAGCCCCGCCTCCACTCACTCACTCAGCTCAGAGATCCACTGGTTGACGATCACACGTTGATCTGATTGGTTACAAGGAAGTGTGTGACGTCAGAAACACCAGCGATTTCAAGCCGTGTTTTTGAGACTGTCTTTGGTTCACTGCAGTTTTAAAGAGGCTATATGCGTTTTTCTGAAATTTAAACTCGCGACTGACACCTGTTGCCAAAAAACAGAACTGCTCTTCCTTTCTGCTCGCTCTCGCAGCGCTCGTACGTGCACACTTCACAAGTCATCTGCTGCAAGGAGGTCAACATTATGTTTACAGAGGTAAGAACAGTCAAAAAATCGCAAAATCCATTGCACTGCTTGCGAGTGTAGGCTACTTGCTGACTAGCGGTGGTGGCAGAGTGATCTGAAACGTTTAACATGAACGCGCCTGACGTCACATCCGCAGACAGCGAGGGGAAATCCGACCCGACAGAAAATAGGAAAAATGCTCATCAGGAGATGTTTGAGTCATAAATGGTCAAATGAAAAGGCTATTGTTACGTTTATTTTTGGGAAAAAGTTACATATAGCCTCTTTAAGCAGAAAATACTCAGCAATGCTGTCGACTTATGAATTTACACATGGTTTGTCTTTAAGCGTATTAAAAACACCACATAGACATATAAACAACATTAAAAACTTGATTTTCACCACAGGGGGACTTTAAGAGAGTGTGCAGTTATATTATCTTTGCATTAAGGCTTGTCCTTTAACTTGCACCTCAATGGGTGTGTGTTTGCTTTGCTGTGTTTTGAGGATATGGGTTTGTAACAACACGAGGGTGAGTACATACATACATTAGTGCTGTTGCTCTAAACACACTATCAGTACTCACCATACAGCAGATCAAACACACAAACACTCTCTTAGTGTGTGATTTCCACACACACACACACACACACACACACACACACACACACACACTGCAGTGTGAGACTGGACTCCTCTAACATACTTTACACTGACTAATTCTACAGAAAATGGCATCTCATGAACACACAGATCTGAGGGGAGGAACACAAGGAAAATAAAGGAATACAAAAGACTGAAAAAAGAACAGAAAAATCCTCAGAACATACCCAGCACCTGGACCACTGAATATACAAACATACAGGAGAGAAAAAAAAGAGAAATAAAATAATAGAGCTGTCAAATAAAGATCACTTTATACAGATAATCAGATTAGATGAAAACTGGCGCTTAAACTACACTGCTCATGGCATGAACATACCATAAACTGCTTCTATATAATAATCATCAGCAAATACAACAGTTATTTAATTAACAACAGTGCATGAACTGGATTTAGCTTGAAAGAAAGTGTCAGCATTTGTTACTGGGTGAGTATGTGTACCAGACCACATCTGAATATGACATCTAGGAGTGGGCGGAGTCTTAAAGGTGAGGATGCCTCAATACGCCTCTATTTAAAGTCTAATGAGATCAACAATAGAGACGTTTTACCCGATGCTGGGAACCTCGTCCTCCGAAACCACATCGGACAGGATGAAATGATGCTTCGCTATAAGGGAACGATTAATGACTGACTCCCGAACCTGAGACAGAGTGACAAACAGAGAATTTGAGAGGGAATTTGATTTGAAGGGCAGACCAATCCATACATACAACATTTATCCTATACACAACTCGCATTACTGTCCACTGTCCTTTCATGTTTAAAACATAAAGACAAAACAGAAAAAAAAAAGAAGATATTTAGGGTCGGTATGATTTTTTTTATTTTATATTAATATCAATATCAAGGATGCATTATATTAATCAAAAGTGACAGTAAAGACATAAAGATTTATTTTTTTAAATAAATGCTGTTCTTTTGAAGTTCACACAAGAAACTTGAAAAAAAAAAGACTGTTTCCACAAAAATAGGAAGCAGCTCAACTGTTTTCAACATTAATAATAATCATAAATGTTTCTTGAGCATCAAATCATCATATTAGAGTGATTTCTGAAAGATCATGTGACAATGAAGACTGCAGTAATGATGCTGCAGATTCAGCTTTGATCACAGGAATAAATTACATTTTAACATAGTATATTCAAAATTTGAAATTGTCATAATATTTCAAAAAAGTACTGTTTTGTCCAATTCTTGATCAAATAAATGCAGCCAAGGTGAGCTTAAGAGACTTCTTTCAAAAATATGTGTAGAAATCTTCCCGACCCCAAACTTTTGAACGCTAGTCCAAGTAAGAAAGAAAGCAAAATAACTCATCATCACTCACTCTTTGCAGATATTTGGCCACGAGGGCTCGATGTGAATCAATGTGCTCTTTTGTATTGATGATCTCGCCATCCTTTAGTCTCTTCTCATAATCCTGAAACAAAAATGATGACACAAATCCACCCATTTGTTCAATTAACATATGAACTGATTACAGGTACATACTTCCTAAAAAGATAAGACTGTTCTTACATTGCACTGCAGGTGCTGGAAACCTACATTAACTGTACATTTCATTCAGACTTGCCATGACATCTTGCACAGACATCTACTCGACACTAGGTGGCACTACAATAAACTATAATAATTTACCATGTTTTCTCTTTAATCTTTAAATGCAACTTTCGACTCCTACCTGGACAGTCTTCCCATTTTTATATATCTTTTTCAAACACTATCTCTTTGAATCCCTTGGCCATTCATCTAGTCTGGACAATCTTAGGCCACTTCACATCTTAGGCCACCACTTCACAGACAGTTCTGTTGTAACAATGTTGGACACAGGCCGTTTTCACTGGCAACCTGCCAGTCTCCCTCTTGAATCCAACACGGAAGTGACATAAACTGCAATTCAGTGACTGGCCACTAGAGACAGGCTCCAAAAGAGAGTCAATCCCATAGACCCCCATGTTAATATGCCCAATTTTACAGCAGAAAAAAACCTGTCAACAGCCTGGTACAGAAATTGGTTTTGGTCTATATAGCTAATTTTGTTCTTCATGAAAACTGTGAGGGGGGTGATTTTTTTTTAAACTCACCCGTTTAAATTATATTAAGCCTTAAAGTTCTGTATAATTAAGGGCGTGGCCACTTGAGTGACAGGTGGATTGCCGCCGCTGTCACTACTAGCCGTTTGTCTGCTGTCTGTTAGCGTCACGTCACCACAGATAATCCCGCCTTTTTGCCAATTTTCTGTTATCCCGGAGTGACGCGCTGCCAAGATGGCGACGGCTGGCTCCGCCCACTTTGGGCTTCAAAAATGCTCTTCAGAAACCTACGGGTGACGTCACGGACACGTATTTTTTACAGTCTATGGTTCTCACAGAGGTTAAGTGATCTCACCTGGAACACCTTTTGGGATATCTCACGCTCCATGGAGGGGACGCATTTAAAGTGCCGGAACTCCGCCACCTCCTGACTCCGCAGCCTCAGGAGGCGGAAGCGACGGGAACGCTGCAGCTCCTCGTCGGGCAGGAAATTAAACTCCTCCTGAAGCTGCTCCAGACGAAAGTATTCAGGAACCGCCACATCTCCACCACTCACCACCTACAGAGACAAAGAGAGACACCAAGAATAATACATTCCTATTGGTATTTTCTACTGTGGTGTTGAGTACTCAAATATATATTTTTAAATGATTAAACTGCATATTTCACCATCAATGGCAAGGTTTCTGTCTTTTTTCAAATTAGAATGGCTAATAGGCACAGTCTTGTGACTCGCAATGATTAAAGGTGCATTCAAGATTTCTGGGAAATGTACCGAGAGTAGTTGCATGATGGAGGTGTTGTTGGGGTCGTTAGGGTCGAGGCGAGACTCAGCCGCCCACTTCCCCAATTTCTTCATATCATTCAGACTAGATGCCCCGATACAGGCTATAGCGTCCATCTGCCCAAGACCACTGAAGAGAGAGAAAACAGTCCATCTAATCAAGCACAACTCTGAAAACGACCCGCTAATGCAGGGCTGGGTCTCTGACCTGTACATGCCCCCTCCAGGCTGACTGGACGGGGGAGCGAGGGGGACGTCATCCTCCCCTACAGCCCAGGACACGCAGCAGGAGAGCTTCCCTGACGTCAGCAGGGTCTGTGTGCTGGTGCCGTCAGCCTCGAAAGAGAACGGGACACCTACCACAAATGAGATATAAAACAACCTGAAGGCTGAATCATTTGGCTTCCTACAGTTTGAGACAGCCTTTGCTTTGGGGGGCATGACTATGACGCATAGAAATTTGTTTAGGCAGGTTTTAAGAGTGTTTATTACACGGCTCTGTGGAATACTTGATTCTGATTGGTCAATCGCGGCATCCAGCGGTAAATTATTCCCAGATAACAACTGTACACAAAATATTTTGTGTAGCGGTTATTTAATTATGCCATCCAGCATCGTGAACACACTCTCTCTTGTTTCACACAAAGGCAGCTGCTGCCATTTTGTGACTATTGTTTTGTACACTGTTGGATTATAAGAAAACAGCGATGATTTTAAAACAGTTTAATCTGAAATCAATATCTCTTATCTCCATAATTATTTATGTGGTGAAATGCTGTGTAATAAGTGGTGTGACTGTATACCGTATCTCTTAAATATCCGTCTAGTTTGAACTTGCCGCGCTAGCAACTGCTCTCTCCGCGGAAGCTTTGCGTTTAAAGACATAATAAAATATATACTCCGTTCCGCGTCGGGGTGTTCATCACGTTGTCGGGGTTTATTCTGAGATAACACCCGGCTGGATGTACATTATCCCGAACTTACCACTGCCGACACCCTCGTGGTTGAAGGTGACTCTCTGGTTGCTGCTGAACTCCATCTCCTCAGATGGTGCACTGCCGGTCAGGACAGAGGATTCTGGAACCGGCACACACACCTCCACCAGCAGGGTGGAAGACGAGCCGACACCCTCAAACACCTGCGAGACAACATCCAGAACGTCTTAAACGCATACACACAAACGGCAATGGAATTGTGCATTTACTCTATACACTCAACCCAACCGTACCTGCAGTTTGATGCTTTCTGGCCAGTTCACAATCTTCAGGTTGAAGATCTGACCAAAGTGGACTCTGAAATCCATGTTGAGGGCGCGACTGTCCGTTCTGGAAACTTCTTTATCGTTGTACAGGACCTTGATGAAGAGGACACGTTTGGACACATCCTCTCTGCGAGCAAACTCGGCACTAGATGAGGCACATACAAAAACTAGTTTACTTTTTCTGGAGACACTCTGAGTCTTTACCCAGGCAAAAGTGACTGAAACAACGCAAGGGTTGATGGTGGTTTTCAGGGAGTTGTTAAGGTGTCCTGAGTGGTCTTAAGGTTGTATTGGTGTTTGCCAGAGCCAGACTTTCTAAAGGCCCAGACACATCAAACCAACATCAAAGAACTAGCAGCAACAAATCGTGTTGTCACCTCGTGTCGTTGCCTTAACAAACCACAAAGCCAATGGACAACTAGCACATTACGTTGATTAAACATGCTAAAAAAAGCTGCATACGCGGGTTTTACTAGTAGTCCAGTCTTTTACTGTAAGATGTCAACAAGATTCTACAAGACATTTTCACCTGGCTAACCCAATGTTTAGATATGTTGTGTTATTTATGCAAATTAGCACATACGTAATTAGATTATGCACCGTTTGCCCATGTTAACAAGCAATTTAAAAAAAACTTGGTGCAAGTAATCAACTCAGTAATTTTCATGGAGATATCTAAAGGTTAAAATTTTTACCTTATTCACGTGAGAAAAAGAATGAATAGGCGTATGAATAGGCTATATTTGGGTCTTTTTCTAAACTTTCCCCTAATGGGATTCTTCGGGGCTACTCAGGACATATTGAGGATAGAAAATCAGTTGAGTTTGCTTCTGTCGCAATTTGTTCTAGGTTGACCCCCATTTTGGCTTAAAATGACTGGACTATATAGTGTCAACAGTATAGAACACAATGCAAACAAGGCCGAAAGATGCTCAACGACGACCCAACACTGGCCAACCGTTGGCTTTGTGTGTCACAGCCTTGAGGTGTTCTACATGTTTTTAGCAGATGGCTGTGCAGTAGCACGGGTGTTGAGGGTGGAGGCTAGGACATCCTGGGAAGTTGTGAAGGCGTTGCTGAAATATTGCAGGTAGTTGCCAGGGCTTTGCTGTGTGGTTGTTGAGGTGTTTTAGGTGTTGAGGTGTTTTAGTGCGTTTGATCAGGATTGGAGCTGAACTTTGCAGGAAGCTAGATCTCCAGGAATAGGATTGGGCATCCCTGGTTTAAGGGGTTTGTTCAAATCACTAACCTCAAATAAGAGCAAAAGTAAGGGGTTGTTTACACGACACCGTTTTCTTCAACGTTTTTGAAAGCGGTCTCCGTGTAAACAACGAAAACACAGTGTTTTTAGTCGTTGTCGTGGATCTGTCTGTACGTGGAAAACTCAAAGGAAAAACTTCTCAGTTTTAAGCATATCGTTGCCGTGTAAATGTCCCCCAAGTGTTGCTTACCTTGGATAACCCCGTTAGGGGCCATTCACACAAAACGTAGGTCAGTGAAGCAAAACTTCTTCTTTTTTTTTTTGTTGAACTCATTTTAACTTGAGCGCCACGTTTTTAGAATGCCGCGTCATGCAAAAGACTCGAGCGCAATGGTCAAAACGCGTCCATCTAGCATGTGTTTACATTGAAAAACAATGGAAAAGTAGAGCAGTGAAATGGAAAAAACACATTCTGTGTGAACGACCCTCATTTATTTATCTTTATAAAGACACTCAATACCCTTAAGGTCTGAGGTAAGTGTATCAGTGTGTGTGTGTGTGTGTGTGTGTTCATTCACCGTGGACACTGCTCATTGGGGGTGATGGGCCCGGAGACGGTAAGTTCTGGGATCAGAACCGGTTCTCCAGGTTTCCTGCGGATCCTGGCAGCCTTCTCCCGCACTTGCTCTTCCAGGGAGCCCGTGTCTGGTTTCTCTGGAGGATCCGGCTTCTCTGGCTCCTCTCCCAACTCCTCCTCACTTTCCTCATCCTCCTCTTCTTCCTCCTGCTGTCTTTTCTTTTTCTGCTTTTTCTTTAAGACTTTCTGAGAGAATCAGAAGCATGTTGTGAACATCTCATGTCAATCTGGTTTCAAACAGGATTATGGATGCATTAACAGTAATTTTTAAGACAAAACATAAGTGGTTATTAACATTGACCATGATTTGCAGAAACAAAGAGACAAAATCATTGATTTTAAATGAAAGGTATTGAGCTACAAAGCGACTACCAATGAGAATGCAAGCGATTGCATTGCATGTGTAGTGGTACCTGTTTTCTCTTCCAGGATTTCCATTCCTCATGCTGTCTTCTGTATTCACTCATCTTCTTCTGATAGTCTTCCTCCGTCTCCGCCTGCAGCTCTTCCACTTCCGCCATGATGTCATTCTCATACTCCTGCTCGTCCTGCTCTCGCTCCACCTTCTCCCTGCAGAGCCAAAGCCACATGTCCCATTACACAAAGCACAAAACATATGACACATGACATATGATGACATACCTCCTGACGAAGAGTTTGAAAGGTGTGTTGGTGAATCTCTGGAAGTCTCTGAGAGCTTTGAGCTCCTTCCACACTCTGATGATGCTTTTGAGGAGAGCTCTGTCCTTGTCCTGCTCCACATCTCGCAACTGACGAGTGTGTCTGACAATACAGGAGAATGCAGAGGACAGAAATAAATGTGACAGAATGACTATCATAAATATAATACTGAAGGTAAAGGTGATTGGAAGTTTCTTCAGGGTTCGTACAGACACTGTAAAATTAAATTCCAGGACTTTTCAAGCACTACTTTTTTGGTTTTGAAGGGCTACAATCAGAGATCACACTTATAAAACAATATCTTTAGTATTTGTTAAGGATTTTTTAAACTTAAATTACAGATATAAGGTATCCAAAATACAACTTACAATGCATTTATTAATATATATTAAATACAAAGGCTATAATGGCTATTATTGTTCAATAAATATTTTTTTATATTATAATGTTGGCGTACTTCGAAAGATCTAATGGTATCAGACGGGCTGCATGAAAAGATTGCATTTGTGTTTTTCCGAAAAAATTGCATTTTATATATATTGTATTTAAATAAGTCAAGTCACTTTTCAAGTACCTCTTCACAAATATGGCTGTTTTCAAGGGTTTTCCAGGACTTAAATTTCAAGTACTTTAAGCACCTTGTATGAACCCTGTTTCTTACCTCACTTCCTGTTTGTACTCTGCCATCCTCTGCTGGGTCACCTGACTCAGAGCCTCTCCTCTGTGTAGCTCCAGCATATTATGTATCGTGTTCCTCAAGCCGTTCAACTACACACACACACACACACATCCAGAATGAGTTTTAAGAACAGGAGGCTTGGTTTTAATGGCCCTCTTCTGCGTTACCTTGTCGGTCAGGAGTCGTGTGAGGCTCTTGTGCTGTCTGGTCAGCTGCTGATCGTACAGCTGGGCGAGACGGGCTGCCAGCACGTGTTCACGGCTGAAGAGAGGATGATGGGAGAAGATGAGGCCCGACACATCTACATCCAGCTGGTAGTCTGACTGGGGATCACCCATTCCAGATATGTAGAGGTTCAAATGCTTCGACTTCAGAGCCTGAAACAGATAATAATAATAATAATAATAATAATACATTTTATTTATAACGCACTTTACATCAATTCAATGACCTCAAAGTGCTACAATATAAAACAGAATAAAAACATTAACATTAAAATAACACTTTTAGCCATAAAAGGCTTTTCTAAAAAGATGGGTTTTAAGGCCTTTTTTAAAAGAGTCCACAGATTGCAGTTGCACAGACTGGGTGCAACTGAACAGAAGGCACGGTCACCCATAGTACGAAGCCTTGTCCTCAAAGGCTGAAAGAGATTGGCCTGTCCAGAGCGGAGATGGCGTGATGAGGAAAGGGGGGTGATGAGTTTGAGATATGGTGGAGCAGTGCCATGGAGGCACTGATGGGACAGAAGGGAAACTTTGAATTCAATCCTGTACTGGACAGGAAGCCAATGGAGCGATTTAAGGATGGGTGTGATATGGTGGTACTTCCGCACGCCCATCAGGATCCTAGCCGCACAGTTCTGGATGTACTGCAGCTGCTTGATGTTCTTGCTTGGGATCCCGATGAGGAGTGCAGCCTGGAGGAAACAAAGGTATGGACAAGTTTTTCGGCATCAGGAAAAGTGAGCATTGGGCGGAGTTTTGCAATGTTCCTGAGATGAAAGAAAGAGGTTTTACAAAGATGTTTAATGTGGGCCTCAATGTTCAAGTGAGGGTCCATTCTAACACCAAGGTTTGTGACTGAGGGTGAGAGGTGGATATCATGACCAGAGAAGGTGATGCTGGTGATGGTGGATGACCGGGCTGGTGCAGAGTGCCAACAAGAATGGCTTCCGTTTTTAAGCTATTGAGTTGCAGAAAGTTAGCCGCCATCCACGTCTTTACCTCCTCCAGGCAGGTTGAAAGTGTGGAAGGGGCTGCAGAGGGGTTAGAATTTGTTTTGATGTAAATGTGGGTGTCATCAGCGTAGCAATGGAAAGATATTCCATGCCGGCTGATGACATGACCAAGGGGGAGCATGTAAAGCGTGAAGAGGGTGGGGCCAAGGACTGATCCTTGAGGGACACCGCAAGTGACAGAGTGTGTGTCCGATTTAGCAGCACCCAGGGATACATACTCAGTTCTGTCCGTGAGATATGATGTAAACCAGGCCAGAGCAGTATCAGAGAGTCCAATGGAGGAGTGGAGGCGGTGTAAAAGAATATGGTGGTCCACGGTGTCAAATGCTGCGGTAAGATCGAGAAGGATGAGAAGTGATGGGGAGCCAGCATCAGCCGTCATCAGCAGGTCATAAGTGACCCTGACCAAGGCAGTCTCCGTACTGTGGCCAAAGCGAAAACCAGACTGGAACTTCTCATAAAGACTGTTTGTTGCGAGATGATTGTGGAGCTGAGCAGAAACTACCTTTTCCAGCACCTTTGACAAGAAAGGGAGGTTGGAGATGGGGCGGTAGTTGGCAGGTACTTCGGGGTCAAGGCAGGGCTTTTTGAGTATTGGCTTAATGACCGCAGTTTCAGAGACTTAGGGACTTGGCCAGATCGGAGAGACTGATTGATGATCTTGGTGATCATGGGACTTATTGCAGAGGAATGACTTTTTATCAGGGCTGAGGGAAAAGGGTCCAGATCACAGGTGGAGGGCTTCATCTTCCTTAGAAGGTCTTCAATGTCATGCTGAGTGATATCCGTAAAACAGCAGAGGAGCTGTGTGGTCCCAGATTGAGGGTCAGTTAATGTAACTGGGGGAGCAGAGGGGCTAGGGAGAAGAGGGGGCGGTGCGAGGGAGCAGATACAGCGGGGGGTGGAGGACAGAGGGGCTGGAGAGAAGGGAACGGATCTTTTCAACTTTTGTTTTGAAGAAGGAGATGAAGGTGTTGCAACGCTCCTGCATGTTCTCTGAGTGTAGGGGGCCGACAACCGTGTAAACACCATGTTATCAATTCAGTATGAAGACATATCATTATGCATTATGCATTTCCACTTATAGTCTTAAAAGTAGATGTTTTGTTATTTTACAACAAAGGGTCAGTGAATACAACTTTTAGGATATTAAGTTTGTCCCGTGGTTTAACTCTGCTTTAAATAAACTAAATTGCATCTATGCTAATATTAGTCTATTCACGTTCCTTCCAACCCTTGGGATTCTTATCCTGAGGTTATTCGAGATCCAGCTCTGGCTCAGCGAGCTTTTGCTTTTCGACATCTGCAAATCACAACGTGTGCATGTGACCAGATTCAACGTCTGCTTTTCTACGATCTTCCATAACAGAAGAACTTCTGCTGCTCCCAAACACTGCATCTCCCTGCACTGTCCTGCTCAATCCTGGACGGACCTCAAAGACTCCCACTACCTCATCTTACACTTAAAATCAATCTCATAACATAATAACTAGGGCCGGGACTTTAACGCGTTAATTAAGATTAATTAATTACACACTTTAACGCGTTAATTAATTACACAAGTTATTTTAATCGCACTTATTTTTGCACCGCGGAACGTTTCTCACTGGATGAGTTTCGGCGGACCGATTATACTGGCGCACCAACTAGCGTTCATGACGAAGAAGCTGACGAGATCGCTTTGGTTGGCCGGTGGCTGGGAAATTTTGTTACAAAAAACGAACGGATGGAAGCGTCGATAAGAGCATGGTTGTGTGCAAGGGGGTAATCCATTAGCCGGAAGTTGAAGCCTCGCAGGAGCCGCCATTGTAGCAGACCATCACCTGCTGTCAGCATCCCATTGACTCCCATTCATTTTGGCGTCACTTTGACAGCGAATAACTTTACATCTGAGGCGTCCAAAGACTTCATTTGTCCATTATTTTTTTCTAAAGAAACACGACAATGTATAAAATGTTCCATTACTTTGTATCTTACGTTACGGCCCCGTAGAAGCCGTTTTTTAAAAGATAGGCTAAAGATTGCGTCATAACCACGGGACTTTCTGTCGCACAATAGAGACATTACCGTATAGACAGGAGGAGAAGCTCGCTAGCAATCTTTAACTGTCTATGAGGCAATCGGGGGGACATGGAGGCACAAAGTCAAGGTAGAAGCCCATAAATAGAGAGTCTATAAAAGCAATGGGACAAAATATTTCAACAACGTTTTTGAGGAATTAGGTGATTCAGATTTGGCTTGGCACAGCTACTAGAAGATTTACAACTGCCAGACTGTCGTCACGCTCAGTTTGAGCCTGCGCAGTCGCTCAGACATCAGACAGGAAGTGCAATAATCGGGCTTCAGTCTTCTCCGTTGAAATCAATGGGGTCGCTCTGTCCATTTCTTTTACTGTCTATGGTTGTGTGCAAGCTATGCAACAAGGAATTCGCTATTGCTATTAGTGTAGTGTAGCAATATGCTATTGCTACACTTAATGGCAAAAATTGCACTGGTCTGCTGGACTTGGTTGAACAAAAATAAACAAGATTGTGTTGCTTAAGCTTATGTATTCAGTCATTATTCAATGGTATACTAAAAATCCATGTGAAAAAAATTACTTCTCACTGTTCTTAGGTCAAATATTTATGCGATTAAAATGCGATTAATTTCGATTAATTAATTACAAAGCCTCTAATTAATTAGATTAATTTTTTTAATCGAGTCCCGGCCCTAATAATAACTATTGACTACAATTATTCATCAGACGTATAGAACAAAACCTTACAGGTATCGTAATCATCAATATCACTACATAATGAATTAATAGCTCTGACATAGAGCTACTATAAGTATATCCAAATTTACAACATACATAAAGTACACTCATGTAAAGCAATATATACTATGTACTATGTAATATATACGTTATATGTATTAGTCCTAAACCATGATGGTGCGAACGTCACGGTTCGGTGCATTCAGTCAGATGATGAATAAAGTCAGTCACAGGCGATCCACACTACAGTCCAGAAGGGGGTGTGTATTATTCCTCCCCTCCGTGTGCTTCAATACCACACCGTGACAACTTTAGCATTTAGCGACTTTATCATAACATAAATGTAACAAATCAGAGTTGATATGTCAACATTTTTGTTTGTCACTTGTTCTAAAAGAAAATGGAAAAACAAAAAATGTTGTAGCGTACCATGGAAAGTGCCTGTAATCGTTTTTCTTTCTTGGGCAACAGGGTTGAATGGTTGATAGTCAACGCTTCTCCTCTACTGCCTGTCCTGTGCATCACGACTAGTATACTGTGGCTTTCTCATTGGTTATGAGCCATGCACTCCTGATATCCACTTCATGTTTCTCATTTTCACTCTTTTATGTTTTAATGGGTTGCATTACCAGAACACTTTGTATCAGTTAGGTCGACATGTCTGTGAGCACTTTAATATTCAGATGTCCTCATGGCGTGTTCTTCTTCTGATTCATTTCAATTTTTGATTTCAATGCTGTGTGTGTGTGTGTGTGTGTGTGTGTGTGTGTGTGTGTGTGTGTGTGTGTGTGTGTGTGTGTGTGTGTGTGTGTGTGTATCCTAATATCCATTACATATCTCCTATTTTGAGTTCTGCAAGGCGTGACCGGCACATGTGACCTCACTGCCCCGTCTCACAGCAGAATCCGTGACATCACCACACATCTGGATCCCATCTCCGTTCTCACACCTCTCATCTCAACAAATATTATTGGCAGGTCATATTGCCTGGAAACAGGCTGCATGGAGGATTTGAAACCAATAAGTGCTAGTAAACATTACAGGATTGCAGTTTAGCCTGATTTTTAAAAGTCGTAAAAGCGCATGAAATGTTTTAGAGCTAAGCTAGTAAAAAAAAAAAAAAAATCACTATAGAAATTTTCACAACTTGCCATGAGATTTTATCCTATGTTTTCCAGACCTAGTGACATGGGGTCCTTGGAATTAATTATCTTCTGAAGTCAAAAAAGAAAAAGGAAAATAGATTTTGTGTTGATTTCAATCATTTCATGTGGGAAAGAAAACTGGTCTGGGGCCTTGGGACCATAGAAACCTGTCATCCAAAACCAGTGCATTTAATACGAGTCATGTTTCCTTTAAAACTTTGGCAAATCCAATAACTAGTTATTCTTTGAAAGCACTCACTGAAGCAGCCTGGGAACTTGTATTAAGGGGACACTGTCAAAAAATGGGTTTGGGATATAAAGCATTACGTACATCACAAAATAAACCCAAACATGGTGATCAGTAAACCGACGAAAAGGGATTATTGCACGCCTATTTGCCACATAAGTTTAAATATTTTATCAGCTCATTAAAACGCTAAGCTTCCGAGAAGAAAAACACACAGAATCTAATGTGATTATAGCTATCGTTAGCTGGATCTCTGACCTTTCTGTAGGCCGTCTGCAGCGCAGGGTCCAGCTCATCCTCCAGCTGGAAGAGAGGCGGTCTAGAGGAGGACTCTTTGATCGGGTCGGGCAGAGCCAGAATACGCCCATCGTCTCCAAACCACTTCCTTCCCTGCACAAACCACAAACACTCACATTACAGATAATAGCAGATAATTTTTTACAGTATCATTTTTATTAGGGATGCACGATATATCGGTATCGGCCGATATGTGTTAATTTTTAATTTGTTATCGTTAACGGCCCGATAAAAAAATGTGGCCGATATATTAAAGCCGATAAATAATGTATATTTCCTCCAGCTGAGACAATTCAGATGAGCACTGTTCACCATAATGGTTTTGCATTGCTTGAAATATGATTGGAATCCGTTCAAAAAAGGAAAATACAGTTTAGTGCAACATGAGCAGCGCAAGTCTGTCATATAGGCTACATGAAATTATGAGAACATTTTTATAATTGTGTGCTTGGGACATGGATATTAATGGTGACTTGTTTTTGTAATCAGGCTCTAAAAATGTTTATAAAAACTTGGATTTAGATTTATCGGCGTGTATATATCTATCGATTATCGGCTTTCAAATATTAAGAATTATCGGTATCAGCCAAAATGTTCATATCGGTGCATCCCTAATTTTTATAGAAGTTAGTATATGAAGTTTTGAGCTCTTGCCCGATCATGATTTCTTTTCATTACCTCGCCCTGCTTGAGTATTCGGTTTTCCAAAATGTTCTGATTTGTCAGGCAGACGTGTGGCCTCTCGCCCACATACAACCCCTCCTCCTCCAGGTAACGGGGACGCACGTTCTCGGCCAGCTTACTCGAGGCAGGGACTGTGGGACACATGGGGTACCCATCATTTGACCTGCTAGAGGAGGGTTAAGATAAAGAGCGTTTCTGTACCTGTCCTCATGCTGGGAACAAACAGCGTCTCTCGCTCCCTCTCCAGTCTCCTACTGTAGTCCATGTACTCCGCTCTCCGCACTTCCAGGAAGTCCTGTGCTGATTGGTCAATGATGAACAAATCCTCCTCCTCATCTCTGACCAGTGGAGCATCTTCATCCTAAACAGGGATTGAATTGCATTAAGGGTAGTTGATGTGAAATTTCCAAGTAATGAAGCACAATATATCTAATCTAAAACTTTTTGTTGTCGTTGTAATTCTTTAAAATTACAATAAATGCAGTTTTTTATGGGCTAATATTAATTGTGAGACTGCATCAATAACTTAAAATATATTTGTATAACGAACTGCAAAAAATGTATTAAAAAGGTGAAAAAAGGTGACCAGTCATATATAAAAAATTTGTATAATATATATACATTTTAACTACTTCAGTAATTTATTTGTGTTAAATAATTTTAACCCGTTCATTTTTAATTAATTGCATTGGTTAACGTTGACAGCCCTAATTTTTTACCTAATATTTTGGTTCACGGACCCTAAAAAATGTCTGCTGATTGAATGGTCAACGTTTGGTCACTGATATAATTTACATGTGGAAATTACATTGTTGTTTGTTAGTGTCCATCTTTGTTGTTTATTCTAATCAGAAACAAACACACAAACACAAGTCACCCTGGCTTCAGACTCTTCCTCTCCTTCACACTCCCTCTCTTCCTCCCCTTCTGCTTCATCCTCCCCTTCTTCTTCCCCTGTTTCCCCCTCTCCTTCCTCCTCTGCTTCTCTTCTCCCGGGACGTCTTTTCTTTCGTTGGCGTTGCTGTTCAGGCTCTGGGTCGAAGTTGAAGGTGAAGAAGTTGTACGCCTCTTCAGCGGTCGGCAAACCAGCTTCGGTCTGCTCACAAACCAAACACACACACACATCTATGTCAGGATTTGAGGATTTCTAATGTATTTCTTAATTAATTCTGTTCACATACTTCACCTGATGTGGGAAATATCATCTTTATTAATACACACACGCAACTATGCACAATGTAGAGTGTAAAGAAATATTAAAACCTGAATCTATCCTTTTATAATATGTAATATCTATTGCTTACTTTCCCTTCTGAGGATGCCTTTCGTCCTGGCAGCAGAAACAGGAGTCTCTTACCCTTTTGTCTTTGGTTGCACGTCTGGCCACATCACGAAACTTCAGCCTGGCAGTGAAGGACGAGTCTTCATCAGCCCGTAGATCTGGATCCGTCTGGAGGAGGACACCATGACAGGATGAGAGCACATCAGATTACATTTCAAACTTCTAAACAAGAGGTGGTGTGTTTTACTCTTAATTATAAAATGAACATATAAAATAATTTTTTTCAGAAGTCCCCCTGTAGTCAATAATTGTATCCCTTAAAACTCATCTTTGATCACTAAAATTACATATTTAAAGGCACACTATGCAAGAATTGTACCTTAATCTAACAGCTTCAAAGTAATTTCGGTGGTAAACAAACTCATAGTAGGGCGAATCATCCTGGTAGTAAAGCTTGGGGGGGACGCCGCTGGAAAAACCAGCAATGCAAGTTTGAGAGGAGCGCCCCCGACAAATCTCGCGAGAATCACGACATGCTTTACGGCAACGACGTCACACACATCAGCAACGACGTCACACACATCAGCAACGACGTCACACACATCAACCTCAACATGAAGCACGAAGACAGTTGCGCGCATTTCAGACGTGATACTTGACGATGGAAAAAGCAAAGAAAACGCGGTCGGAAGAGACTAGGAAAAGGAAAAATTAGCCTCTCTGCTCAACCCGTAAATAAATGCATCGATCCGCAAGTTTTGTTTGAGTTCTTTAATGGTCTAGTGCAGGGGTAGGCAAGTTCGGTCCTAGAGAGCCGCTATCCTGCGGAGTTTGGCTCCAACACTGAAAAAAACCTCTCCTGCCTATAGCTTTAGTAATCCTGAAGACATTGATTAGCTTGTTCAGGTGTGTTTGATTAGGGTTGGAACTAAATTCTGCAGGACAGCGGCTCTCTAGGACCGAACTTGCCTACCCCTGGTCTAGTGGTAGATCTTTTGCCAAGCGTGTTAGAGGTTACTTTACAGGTTCTACGTTTTTTTCTCTCTCATCAAAACTGAATATGTTCATCAGTGGTTACAGTCTAGATCAAGCAGGGACACGTTTTTGTGCATTTATTTTTATTTTTTTTGTGCGGTTTTGTCGTAAAAATATACATATTTATGAAAATATCTGACTTCCGGCAACGATCGACGCGCGTTCACGGGTGATTTGTTTTGCTCTGCTCTCTGGCTGCGCTGGCGCGTTCATTCTTCGTCACGACGGTTCCTACGCTACGTCCTACCTCGTACGCCGACTTCCATCACCCGTGAACGCGCGTCGATCGTTGCCGGAAGTCAGACATTTTCATTTATAAAGTTTTAAATATGTATATTTTTACGACAAAACCGCATGGATTACCCTCAGAAGGCCTTCGTTTATCCCCCTGGAGCCGGATGGATTACTTCTGTGAAGGATGTATGCACATTTTGGAACTTGAAGGAGGTGGATCCCATTGCTTCACATTATATCCACTGAAGGGTCTAAGACATTTTCTAAAATAACTGAAAATGTGTTCGTCTGAAACAAGATTGACATATGCATCTCGAACGGCTTGAGGGTGAGTAATGCATGTGTTAAATATCATTTTTGGCCGAACTATCCCTTTAATATAACAGCTTCAAAGGGGCATCAGGCCGTGAGTGCAGAGACACTCTGCGTGAGTGGTATTTACGACAGTAACATTTCACGAGTTCACACTTACAAATGATCAGAGAATAAATGATTATGCTTATTTTGAAAAAGCTCGGAAATTGGGCCCGAACCCAGAGTACTCCCCCCGTATCTCTGTTTAGGAAGATAACTAGGCAAGTGTGAGGAGATGGGGTGGTGGAGGGATGCTGAAAACTGTCAAGGAATATTGGTGAGTCGACTGAGTATATTTATAGGCTTTACTCGTGCTGATTGAGTGGACCTGTTGATTACTGATTGCTGACAGCTGGCTGGAATGACTTGATTGTTTGATCATTAGAACGTGTTCCTCCCGAACCTTGTTAATAAAACATCAATAAATACAAGTACTCCACAGCGACTCTAGGGGTCGCTGTTTGACAAAAACGGAATTCCTGAGTTTTTTCCTTGAATTTTTTTTCTTCATGCCTTAAAATATCTTTAATGTAACTCGACACCCTTCCCTCATTTAGTATACGCGGTTCCATGAATATGCAAATGAGCCCCGCCTCCACTCACTCACTCAGCTCAGAGATCCACTGGTTGACGATCACACGTTGATCTGATTGGTTACAAGGTTTGTGACGTCAGAAACACCAGCGATTTCAAGCCGTGTTTTTGAGACTGTCTTTGGTTCACTGCAGTTTTAAGGAGGAAATACTCAGCAATGCTGTCGACTTATGAATCTACACATGGTTTGTCTTAAAGCGTATTAAAAACACCACATAGACATAAAAACAACATTAAAAACTGGATTTTCACCACAGGGGGACTTTAACGTGTTTGAAAGAAGTCTCTTATGCTCACCACCAAGACTGCATTTATTTGATTAAAAATATAGTAAAAACAGTAATATCACAATCTAATTATTCCTGTGATCAAAGCTGAATTTTCAGCATCATTACTCCTGTCTTCAGTGTCTTCATTCTGATATGATGATTTGATGCTCAAGAAACATTTCTGATTATTATCCGTGCTAAAAACAGTCGCGCTGCTCAATATTTGAGTGGAAACAGTGTTTTTTCAGGATTCTTTGATGAATAGAAAATTAAAAATAACAGCATTTACTACAAATAAAAATCTTTTGTAGCATTGTCTTTACTGTCACTTTTGATCAATTTATTGGTCCTTGCTGAATAAAAACATTAATTTCTTTTTAAAAAAATCGTACTGACGCCAAACTTTGAACGGAAGTACATATTATAATACTTGGTTTATGGTGACAGAGAAACCAGGACCATACCAGGACAATTTAACTTTTCATACATTTACATCTTGACATTTTTCTTTCCCCACCACTGTCATTTGCCTGTTTCTTACGTCTCTGTCGAATCGAGTGAGGGTTTCTCTGTCCCGTAGACTCTGTAGGCGGCTGGCGGGCTCGGTGATGCTCTCCTGCTCTAGAAGACTAGCAGCTTTAGACTGAAGGGGACGGCACAACTGTGAGTTAGTATTCTGAAACATATCCTGAAACACATTTTCTATTTTAGACGAACTTCACCTTCGCTGCTCTCAGCTTCTCAGTCATACGCTGCCTCATGCTGGTCTCCGATTGGCTGGATCCAGGCCTCATCACAGGACGAGGAGGAAGATCTGGAGAGATTGTGAGGATGAGAGTGTGTTGTGCTCCTAAGAATAGTGTGCACAGAAACCAGACTGAACAGCTTCACATTATGAATTTTTTATGAATACTGTCATCGCACCCAGCCCTAAGGCCTTGTCCACACTAATACGTTTTTGTTTAAAAAAATCATCTTTTTCTCTCCGTTGTGGCCTTCCGTCCACACTTACCCCTTTTCCACCAAAGCATTTTGAGAGCCGGTTCGGCGCCGCTGCCTACTCGCGAACCAGTTCTTTGTGTTTCGACAGCCAAAGAACCGGTTCTCGGCCAGGAAAATTGGTTCCAAAGCGGCACCAACTCTTTGCCGGACTAGAACCGTTCTTTTACCACGTCATGCTTACGTCGGGGGCTGGGGGCGGGGTTATTGAGACCAACAACACGACGGGAATGGGAAAGCTAAGACGTATGGCGACGTACACAGTGACGTAACGACGTCGTTCGCTGGGCTCTCTAGTCAGTGGAAAAACAAACAGGTTCTGAGAAGGTGAACCAACTTTGAACCAGCACCAGGTCCGAACCAGTTCTTTTTTGGTGGAAACGAGGTAACTGAGACGCCATTTTTAGGAAAACGCTCTTCAAAGTGGATACAACTCGTTCTCGAGTTGTAGTGTGGACTGTGAAAACGGAGGTATTTAAAAAACGATGACGTAAGTTTAGTCACGTGACGCATATTGCACCATTAGATATTCATGTTTATACCGGTATTGTGCCTGTTATGAGCTATGCACTTTCACACAGTTGCTAAAATATGTAACTTTGCACGCTGTTTGCAATAAACAAGAGCAGTCGCGTTTCAGACCAAACATATAATGGTGAGTGATCAGTGAATGCTGAGATATTTTGCTAAATAAAATGATCCTGCCAGAAGAATTATGTGATAACTTGATTATGTCTTGTTCTATCTGTATCATCTCAGTGAGCTTTCGTGAGGTTTTACGCATGCGCTGTAAGATGAATTTAGCGGTAGTGTGGACGGAGAACGTTTTTAAAGGAAAACTCCATTTTCAAATCTATCCGGATTAATGCAGACGTAGCTCTAGTGAAACCCAGGCTTTGTAATGACGTCTATAATCGGAGAGTTCCCTCACCTCTCGGTGAGCGCACTGGCTGTACATCGTCATCATCTGGTCTGTCCTGCTCCTGCACTGCTGTCAGCTCCTCGTCTGGAGGAGACTCTCCCGTCCTCTCCTTCAGCAGCTTCCACACGGAGACCACATGCAGGCGTTACACACAGAGCCGATCCGAGCGCATGAGGTCTGAGGTCAGGCTTCACCCACCTCTAACACGGACCATCTTTTGCACCATATTCACACTTTTGTACTTTAGTTTGCAGGGAAAGTAACTATTTCACGTGTTCTTTGCATTATTACTTGACTTTTTATAGTCATTCATTTTCTAAAATAAAAATAATGATGAGAATAGCCTAACAGTAATAATAATGAATATTATGTTTTATTGTTGTGGTAATTATAGTATCAAAAAAAGAAGCAAATCAATTGTTAAAAATGAATGCATTATTAACTTTTTCTATTGTCATTTTCTAAATGAATAAATAGAAATGGTATATTTATAAGTAGTGTTTTTATTGTTGTAGTAGACATTATTGTGTCAAAAATGGAAGATTAAAATTGATTGCATTATAACTTAACTTTTAATATATAAGTTTAATATATAATTTTTTTAATAACCATTTTCTAAAACTAAAAATAAATAGTTATGAAATATCCACGATTAATGTTAAGTTTTTTTATTGTTGTAGTAGTCATTGTAAAAAATATTATTCTGTATATTGGTAAATAAACACTATTTATAAAGTTAGCACAGTCCTGACCTTCTTCTTTTTCTTCATTCTCTTTGCCATCACTGAGCGTCTGAGTGTCTCACCAGGGTCCTCTTCTCCACCTGCCAGCTCCTAAAATAACATACTTAGGAATATTACAATACAAAAATATATGATCATCAACTCTATCTAATGGACAGTATACAGGTCCTTCTCAAAAAATTTGCATATTGTGATAAAGTTCATTATTTTCCATAATGTAATGATAAAAATTAAACTTTCATATATTTTAGATTCATTGCACACCAACTGAAATATTTCAGGTCTTTTATTGTTTTAATACTGATGATTTTGGCATACAGCTCATGAAAACCCCAAATTCCTGTCTCAAAAAATTAGCATATTTCATCCGACCAATAAAAGAAGTGTTTTTAATACAAAAAAAAGAGTCAACCTTCAAATAATTATGTTCAGTTATGCAATCAATAGTCAATACTTGGTCGGGAATCCTTTTGCAGAAATGACTGCTTCAATGCGGCGTGGCATGGAGGCAATCAGCCTGTGGCACTGCTGAGGTGTTATGGAGGCCCAGGATGCTTCGATAGCGGCCTTAAGCTCATCCAGAGTGTTGGGTCTTGCGTCTCTCAACTTTCTCTTCACAATATCCCACAGATTCTCTATGGGGTTCAGGTCAGGAGAGTTGGCAGGCCAATTGAGCACAGTAATACCATGGTCAGTAAACCATTTACCAGTGGTTTTGGCATTGTGAGCAGGTGCCAGGTCGTGCTGAAAAAAGAAATCTTCATCTCCATAAAGCTTTTCAGCAGATGGAAGCATGAAGTGCTCCAAAATCTCCTGATAGCTAGCTGCATTGACCCTGCCCTTGATAAAACACAGTGCACCAACACCAGCAGCTGACATGGCACCCCAGACCATCACTGACTGTGGGTACTTGACACTGGACTTCAGGCATTTTGGCATTTCCTTCTCCCCAGTCTTCCTCCAGACTCTGGCACCTTGATTTCCGAATGACATGCAAAACTGAGCAACAGTCCAGTGCTGCTTCTCTGTAGCCCAGGTCAGGCGCTTCTGCCGCTGTTTCTGGTTCAAAAGTGGCTTGACCTGGGGAATGCGGCACCTGTAGCCCATCTCCTGCACACGCCTGTGCACGGTGGCTCTGGATGTTTCTACTCCAGACTCAGTCCACTGCTTCCGCAGGTCCCCCAAGGTCTGGAATCGGTCCTTCTCCACAATCTTCCTCAGGGTCCGGTCACCTCTTCTCGTTGTGCAGCGTTTTTTGCCACACTTTTTCCTTCCCACAGACTTCCCACTGAGGTGCCTTGATACAGCACTCTGGGAACAGCCTATTTGTTCAGAAATTTCTTTCTGTGTCTTACCCTCTTGCTTGAGGGTGTCAATGATGGCCTTCTGGACAGCAGTCAGGTCGGCAGTCTTACCCATGATTGCGGTTTTGAGTAATGAAACAGGCTGGGAGTTTTTAAAAGCCTCAGGAATCTTTTGCAGGTGTTTAGAGTTAATTAGTTGATTCAGATGATTAGGTTAATAGCTTGTTTAGAGACCCTTTTCATGATATGCTAATTTTTTGAGACAGGAATTTTGGGTTTTCATGAGGTGTATGCCAAAATCATCAGTATTAAAACAATAAAAGACCTGAAATATTTCAGTTGGTGTGCAATGAATCTAAAATATATGAAAGTTTAATTTGTATCATTACATTATGGAAAATAATGAACTTTATCACAATATGCTAATTTTTTTAGAAGGACCTGTATATATATATATATATATATATATATATATATACACTCACCGGCCACTTTATTAGGTACCCCATGCTAGTAACGGGTTGGACCCCCTTTTGCCTTCAGAACTGCCTCAATTCTTCGTGGCATAGATTCAACAAGGTGCTGGAAGCATTCCTCAGGGAGTTTGGTCCATATTGACATGATGGCATCACACAGTTGCCGCAGATTTGTCGGCTGCACATCCATGATGCGAATCTCCCGTTCCACCACATCCCAAAGATGCTCTATTGGGTTGAGATCTGGTGACTGTGGAGGCCATTTTAGTACAGTGAACTCATTGTCATGTTCAAGAAACCAATTTGAAATGATTAGAGCTTTGTGACATGGTGGAAGTAGCCATCAGAGGATGGGTACATGGTGGCCATAAAGGGATGGACATGGTCAGAAACAATGCTCAGGTAGGCCGTGGCATTTAAACGATGCCCAATTGGCACTAAGGGGCCTAAAGTGTGCCAGGAAAACATCCCCCACACCATTACACCACCACCACCAGCCTGCACAGTGGTAACAAGGCATGATGGTTCCATGTTCTCATTCTGTTTACGCCAAATTTTGACTCTAACATCTGAATGTCTCAACAGAAATCGAGACTCATCAGACCAGGCAACATTTTTCCAGTCTTCAACTGTTCAATTTTGGTGAGCTCTTGCAAATTGTAGCCTCTTTTTCCTATTTGTAGTGGAGATGAGTGGTACCCGGTGGAGTCTTCTGCTGTTGTAGCCCATCCGCCTCAAGGTTGTGCGTGTTGTGGCTTCACAAATGCTTTGCTGCATACCTCGGTTGTAACGAGTGGTTATTTGAGTCACTGTTGCCCTTCTATCAGCTCGAACCAGTCTGGCCATTCTCCTCTGACCTCTGGCATCAACAAGGCATTTCCGCCCACAGAACTGCCGCTCACTGGATGTTTTTTCTTTTTCGGACCATTCTCTGTAAACCCTAGAGATGGTTGTGCGTGAAAATCCCAGTAGATTAGCAGTTTCTGAAATACTCAGACCAGCCCTTCTGGCACCAACAATCATGCCACGTTCAAAGTCACTCAAATCAACTTTCTTCCCCATACTGATGCTCGGTTTGAACTGCAGGAGATTGTCTTGACCATGTCTACATGCCTAAATGCACTGAGTTGCCGCCATGTGATTGGCTGCTTAGAAATTAAGTGTTAACGAGCAGTTGGACAGGTGTACCTAATAAAGTGGCCGGTGAGTGTATATATGTTTTAAATGTCCACTGTGACCATTTTTTTTCCTTTTTTTCAATTTGTAGGTTTTCAGAATTCTGGTTAAAAGTCAAAAACAAGCCCAACAGGTTTAAAAAAAAATGTAATAGAATATAATATATTAATCCAGTCCAATTAAACCCAATTATTGCGGTTATCTCAAATAAGTGCGACTAGATCAAATAACCACGATCATTAATCAATAATCGGGACAGGCCAAGCTGTTAGTAATCCAGTTACATCAAATGATAATGCACAGCATTGTCCCCACTGGACAGAAGCAGTTTTTAAGGTTTTAAGTTACTGTACATGCTTGGATACAAGAAGAATGATCAAGAGAGCCCAGAAGAAAAGCATTGAATGAAATGTGTTAGCCTATTAAAATAAAACTGGTTCATATGCTTCATGTAAAAACATACGGCTTCAGAAGACTTGGACTCATATGCACCAGTTTTGAGACACATTTACACTTTCACCTAAAATGTAATCTATCATTAAAAAAAACACCAAATTTATACACTGAAAAACGTATATGAATCTAAAATTAGTTTTTATTTGCTCTTCAGTCCTTAAATCACCCTCCACTTGAACTGTGTGAGACAGCGTGAGTGAGTGATGACAGATTGCTTATGCTTGAGAGAACACTGAAGGAAAGCCTAGCAGGAAGTGTTAGAGGAAGTTGAAAAGGTGAGTCCAGAACCAACCTCCACCGCAGTGTGATCATTGTCCTGAGACAGATCCCAGTCTGCCGGAACCAGAGCCTACAGCAGATCAGCACAGACTTGACAATCACATTCATGCGTTCAGTGAAGCTACAGCTTTGTTCTGCTCGTCTCGTACGACAAGCTGCTAATGCAACAAACATGTCTAGCAACGTCAGATATCAAATACAGCAAATATGTGTGCATGTGCATATAGTGGCACTGGTTTCCAGCGGCATTGGTTCCGGAAGTTTTTCTTTTTTTAAATTCATTTCTCCCATAGGGATTTAAAAATATCGTTAAAGGGATATTAGCAACAAACCAAATCAGCCAGCAACGAGGTGAAACACAAGTACACAACAATAAAAACTTTTGATTTGAAGCAAAAAAAGGTTTTTGAAAACTGGACAAAAATACAAAGGTACAAGACTGTGAACTTAAGTTTTAGCGAGGGAAAAAACTACAATCCCATGAAGCATTGTGAACAGCATAATCAAATAAAAAATGATGGCAAATCATAAACCTACTCATTGACAAATGTTGATTATATGTATTGCATAAACATTTCAATATTTTTAGAGAGTGTAGGGATGGGCTTGATTACGTCATTCGCAGTGCTTCATGGGAGTGGGCGGAGCTAAAGAGGCGGGGTTTTCTTGTTACTACTCTCTGATTGGTGTAATGTTTGTACAGCATCATGGGTGGTGTAGTTTTTCACCACAAAGTATGCTAATAAACATTTAAAGGTTTAGAAGTTATCGGTTTTCCCTATGGAGAAAATGAATAGAGATCCGGAACCCGACGGTTTCGCTCTATTGCCCAAAAGTGCAGCATCTTAAAAAAAAACGGTGATGAACAACAAACATAGTAAATGGCAATCACTGTTCATTATATTATATCAGGGGTTTTCAATCTTTTAGATGCTGCAGACCCCCAAATATGATCATAATCGTGTGAGGGACCCTGTGCTAAAATTTAATCTATCATTAAAAAAACATCAAATTTATACACTGAAAAACGTATATAAATCTAAAATAGTTTTTATTTAGATACATTATATATTTTTCTACTCACTTCAGTAAATGTACTGTTAAATATATATATTTTTTATTTGTTTAATTTAAATTTATTTATATGAATCAATTTGTATTTATTTTAATCTAATTTAAGATACGGAACAGATGAACAACTTATATTTTTATTTTTTATCACATTTAGTATTCATTTATTTGATTGAAAATTTTGAAATGAATTAATTTAAATACTTAATTTTTTATTTTTTTTTATTTAAAGTTTTTCTCCAGGCTTTTCCCCGGACCCCAGGTTGAAAACCCCAGTACTAATAATGTTCTGCATACTGATATTATTATAACCTGTTTATCATCTCTGGCTCTTCCTAAAGACTCCTGCAGTTCCCTCCTCTTCTTCCTCATCTTCTCCCGCACATCACTGAAGACAACAGGACAGACAACTTACTCTTACGACAATCTCACAGTTTTTTATTCCTGAAGTAGTAAAAAAGGAAGATTACCTGGGCGAAGACATTTTGAATACAATTAACGTTACTGATGTCAGATATCTTCCCAATTCATATCAGATCAGAAGCAAGGACTTCACAGGAACTTCTTGATGAAACTGTATTAAAGTGAGTTTATAACAGAGGGACTGACTGTAACTTATCATCCACAGCAAACACACGGTCGTCTATAAACACACATCTGATGTTTCTCTTATAAAATGAGTTCCAGTGCAGTAAGTACATCTCTGTATTCTCTCGGTGCAGGAAATAAACATCACCCTGAGTGAAAAAAGAAAGCAAATGCTTTCCAGACTGCAACAATGCGAACAGCATTAATTCACTGAAGGGGCAGATATTAAATATGTATTTTGGTAGAGTTTTACCGTCTCGCTGCCTGGTAACGGATGTAAATAATCTGGTGCAAGTTGTGCAACCGAACCCACGGCGGTTTGCGTCCGGTCCGTCCCACTCAGTGTCAAAGCGGCTTTTAATTGGCCCAGACTCCCGTCAATCACATAAATCTGCTGACGCCACTAGGTAGCGTTTAAATCCGATCCTTTTGCATGATTTTTTCCTTTCTGTCGTTTATTTGTTTGTATACGGCAATGTTTACAATACAACTAAAATTATCTTTAATATAAAAACAAAAATATGTTCAGAAAAAAATCCTTGAACCTTTAAAATAATTGTATTCCATCGAGGAGTGTCTTCTCAAAGATTAGGTCTAACATTTTAAACTAAAACCAAAAGGATTACTTCAGTATTACACTCAAGTTATAATACAACGAATTTGCTGCTTTCATTATTCCTGATTAAAACAAAACCAACCTTACATCAATCATAGTCTGGGTGATGTTAATAAACACAGAATATGTATTATTTCTGAAACTGACCAGATCCAATAACAAACGTTGCACCCTATTTTGATTTCAACTATTGGACTGTAGATTATAATCTAAGACTATTGTAATTATACTAAACCACTCAAGATAACTAATTCGACTGCAATATACAAATAAGTATTTCGTTAGTGGAAGAAGACCTTATTCACTGTATTTCCTGTTTGCTCCAGAAAATATGCTCTAAAGCTGTTGAGATTTTTTTTTTTTTCTCATCAAGTTTTATCTTTTCCTAAAGAATGCAAAACCAACCAACATGGTGAGTATACACTCACTAAATCTGTACTATGTTATTTGATCCTTTTCAGATGGTTGTAATCATAATTTGAGGGTGTTTGATACACAGAGCTTCTTTTTTTTCCCCAAATGCAAAACTTTGCATTACTCATATGAAGTACACTGATATTTAGTGTAATAATCTTCTGCCAAAATCATCTGTCTGGCCATAACACATTTTCCCCAAATTTCTAGTCTGTGTCGTATGGAGAAGAATTACACACTAACATGCACATACAAGCAGAATTAAAGCCCGGATACACTGGTCCAATCATCCCGTTTATTAAAATTTGATCTTTGAAATCTACCTTGAAACAAATGTTTGATTATTTATTCTTTTTATAAACAGATTTAATATATATATATATATATATATATATATATATATATATATATATATATATATATATATATATATATAGTGTATATATATATATATATATATATATATTATCTCCAGATATTCAAAACAAATATTATATAACTCTAACACCATTAGATCCTTTTTGTTCGGGTCAAGGTCTCTGAACAGTCCAGATGGTTGAGCTGTTTTCTCTGACAGTAGATGAACTCTACCATGACAAATTGAACTGAATTCAAGATACAAGTGACTCATCGACACAATAAAACCAAGGGAGTTTCTGTTCAAATGTTTGGATTCATTTGACACATGAATTCATAGCAAATAAATAATGTAGCATTAGCTGAACATGCCAAACAATGTCATTATAATCAGTAATGGTTTATTGGTCAGCAAATTAAACAATATCTTTGAACATTTATAATATACAAATGTAAAATTTCACATGAACACTTTGCAAAAACGAAGGGAATGAATATTTCGCAACAACTTTATTTTGTATATTTAGATAAGTAAATAAAGAGAATTAATACAAATAATTTGGACACATAGTCAACACTTAAAATATATATACAAATATTTTAAGTCAGATTTATATGAATTTGAATATGTTGTGGGCCATATACAGTATTTACAAAATATGGGAAAAATTAATTCCCAATAAATGTGGGAAAAGAAAAATCTGTTAAATCCCCTGTTGAAACCATTATCATTAGAGTCTTAGGGATGGGTTCAAAAAGTGTGACATTAAGTGATCAAAATTGCGTGATATACTTTTTCACACAGATCAATGATCTCATCCTTCTTAGTATAATCGGTAACATCATCATTTTCATCATAAAGTATTTTGTGTCAACAATAGGCCTATACATGGTGACTTTCAGCAAGCTGACGAAACAGAATTCAGGGTTCAAGTTTTGTACTATTTTTTATTTATTTTTACTTAACAATTGCTTTTTATAAATTGAAACAGTGTCTGTAAATGCAACGTTCATGGCGTGTGATGCTGAAAAAACAACATGACCCAATACAGGGTTACAGACAGGAATGGGCTGTCCATAGGTAGCACCTATGTTACCTATGGTAATTGATGTTACCGTAGCTGCTATTTGTAGTCTTCCGCCAATGTATCCATATAGTTTGTATCTACATAAAGTAAAAACCCAGAGAACAGACTGTCAGCCCAGCCGGGGTCAGCAAACAGGCCGTTCTGGTCCTTGTAGAAGATCTCCAGCCATACCTCATCCTCTGGGTTGAGAAACATCACGGTTGAGCCAGACGCTACGTCATGGTTTCCGGTGTTGGCATCAAAAGTCTTTATCCGGTACTCTCCGTTCTGGACAAGCCCAATGGCCAAGTGCTTGTCGGCCAGAGTTATGTCATAAGAAAAGTAGTATATTCCTGGGTATGCACAGATGAATTTTCCCGTCTCGGGATTGTAGTGGCCACCTTCATTAAACAGGACTTTGTTGAACTTGATAGGTGCTTGTTCGGTGGGGTAGCTACTGGTGATGCCTACTGAGAAAGCGGATTTGGGAACCAAACTTCCACATCTGCAGATACCTGGTTCTCCCGGAGGGCCACGTTGGCCCTTGTCACCCTTATGTCCAAGACGTCCTGCAGGACCAGGAGGCCCTAAATCTCCAGGATCACCCTCAGGTCCACGTTTCCCAATGAAACCTCTCTCCCCACGATCTCCGAGTTTTCCCATTGGCCCGCATCGACCTCTGAGCCCTGAAACAAACACAGTCCTCTTAAAGATGCTGAATTTGTGGGGTAAAACCATACCCCAGGAAAGGGGTCGCTAACCCTGCTCCAGGAGGGCAACCTTCCTGCAGGCTTCAGATCCAACCCTGCACCGACACACCTGCCTGCAATTTCCATGTAAGTCTAAACACCTTGATTAGCTGGTTCAGGTGTGTTTGATTCGGGTTGGAGCTGAACTCTGCAGGACAGTAGCTCACCAGGAGCAGATTTGGATGACTACTCTTCAATTAAGCTGCATAAATTAGGTCAGTCGAAACCGCAAACACTTCCAAAAACACCCAATGTACTCGTTACATCATAAGAAGAATGGCATCTATGAATGAATGAATGAATGAGGCATTTATATAGTGCTTTTTATTTGTACTACTGTACACCCAAAGAGCTTTACAATCATGTCGGGGTCTCTCCTCAACCACCACCAGTGTGAGCATCCACTTGGATGATGCGACGACATGCCACAGTACAGCGGCGCCAGTGCACTCACAACACACCAGCTACAGGTGGAGAGGAGAGAGAGTGATCGAGCCAGTTCAGTGGATGGGGATTATTAGGAGGCCATGATTGGCAGGGGCCATTGGAGGGAATGTGGCCAGGGCACCGGGGTTACACCCCTACTCTTTAGGAGAAGTGCCATGGGATTTTTAATGACCACAGAGAGTCAGGGCCTCGGTTTAACATCTGATCCGAAGGACGGTGCTCTTTGACAGTATAGTGTCCCTGTCAGGGACCACAAGTTAGGACCCACACAGACCACAGGGTGAGCGCCCCTTACTGGCCTCACTAACACCACTTCCAGCAGCAAGTCTTCCCAGGAGTCTCCCATCCAGGTACTGACCAGGCTCAACCCTGCTTAGCTTCAGTGGGCAACCAGTCTTGGGCTACAGGGTGATATGGCTGCTGGCATATGCTAATATAATATTATCTATGCTAATATTAGTCTCTCTGTTTATCCCAGGGTTTACTGTTGTCAGCCGGATCCGGGTCGTATCCAAATCAGATGGAGGACCTGTCCCTAGACACAACCACAACGCATCCCTGAGATTGTGTCAACTAGACTCTCCCCTGTGAAGGCATCATCGACACGACAGCCAGCGGCACTGATCCTCAACAAACTCGTCACCATATCCGCGTGATGAAAAAGATCTTCAACCAGATGAAACTGGATAAATATTCTCAATGTTCTGATCCAATCTGACTTTCTGACCTTTAATGCTGCCTGAATCATAATCCTACACTTTGTTCTCCGTTCTGACACCTAAAGGAGTTATGGTTCCTTGCCACTGTCGCCTTTGGCTTTTGGCTTGCTTAGTTGGGGACATTTAATATTCAACAATATTATTGATCTGCCTGCATTGACACCATTGAATGAGAACTGGATTCAATGAGAACTCTACCTGGATCTCCTTTTTCTCCCTTTTCTCCCTTCCGTCCATCCCTCCCATCTCTTCCAGGGATTCCGACATGGCCATCCTCCCCAGGAGGCCCAGGGGGGCCAGACTTTCCTAGTGCCCCTGGCATCCCTGGAATGCTGCAAATTAATTGAGGCAGGGCTCCTTTGGACCTGGCCTCCAGCAGCTGTCCCATAATGCACTGAGAGAGACAGATCACACCCACCATTGACCACATCCTTAGACCTAAGTGAGAAAAATAGAAGAGCAAGGGGGTAAAAAAACAATGAACCAAATTGTTCACCTCAAGAAAGAATTTTCCTTTTTGGCTAAAATCTTCCTTTAGCTTGCTGGTGTCACGGTGTGGGTTTTGTGTTTTGTTCCTTGTTCTTGTCTGTCATGTGATTCCCTGTTTGTCATGTTATCCTGCCATGTGTCTTGTCTTTTGTCATGTTGTTGCTCAGTGTCCACAGGTGTTCCTCGTCTATGTCTATTAGTCTCCCCAGGTGTCTCTTATTAACCACGCCCCCTTGTTATCTTGTTTAGCTTGTTTGTCTGTGTATTTAAACCCCTGTGTTTCAGTTGTTGGCTGTCGGTTGTTGTTTAATGTTACTACTGTCTTGTTCTGAGTTCCCTGGATTTCCTGTTTGTTTCTGTTTAATTAAATGTGCTTGCGATTGGATTCACTCTCTGTTTCATCCTTGCTGCCGCGTAACAGAACAACCGACCGCCAATGAATCCAGCAGCACGGATCTCGTCTGATCTTCCCAGCATGGACCGGGAGTTTGCTGGGAAAACCGCGGCCTTAGCCCTGAACAGCCCGGATTTGTTTCAGTTTACCTGGGGGTTTGCTGCACTTGCTGCCTCATGCACCCTAGGGAATGAGGCTATAAAATTGTGTTACCGGCTGGGGGCTAAGGCGGTCAACCCTAGGGAGCTCCCCGATCTCTCTGGCCTGGATTGGAGAGAGGCACTCTCCAGTTGTCTGGAGAGCTTCAGCCCGGGGTACGCCAGGCCTTCAACACTGGTCCCAGTTCCGGTGGTTCCAAGTCCGGTGGCCCGGAGGAGGAGGAGAAAGGCCTCCTCAAAGACCGTCCAGCCAGAGACCGTCCAGCCAGAGACCGTCCAGCCAGAGACCGTCCAGCCAGAGACCGTCCAGCCAGAGACCGTCCAGCCAGAGACCGTCCAGCCAGAGACCGTCCAGCCAGAGACCGTCCAGCCAGAGACCGTCCAGCCAGAGACCGTCCAGCCAGAGACCGTCCAGCCAGAGACCGTCCAGCCAGAGACCGTCCAGCCAGAGACCGTCCAGCCAGAGACCGTCCAGCCAGAGACCGTCCAGCCAGAGACCGTCCAGCCAGAGACCGTCCAGCCAGAGACCGTCCAGCCAGAGACCGTCCAGCCAGAGACCGTCCAGCCAGAGACCGTCCAGCCAGAGACCGTCCAGCCAGAGACCGTCCAGCCAGAGACCGTCCAGCCAGAGACCGTCCAGCCAGAGACCGTCCAGCCAGAGACCGTCCAGCCAGAGACCGTCCAGCCAGAGCTTCACGTCAGCCACGTCCAGCCAGAGCTTCACGTCAGCCACGTCCAGCCAGAGCTTCACGTCAGCCACGTCCAGCCAGAGCTTCACGTCAGCCACGTCCAGCCAGAGCTTCACGTCAGCCACGTCCAGCCAGAGCTTCACGTCACTTCTGCCCAGCCAGAGCCTGTTCACGTCACTTCTGCCCAGCCAGAGACTGTTCACGTCACGTCTGCCCAGCCAGAGACTGTTCACGTCACGTCTGCCCAGCCAGAGACTGTTCACGTCACGTCTGCCCAGCCAGAGACTGTTCACGTCACGTCTGCCCAGCCAGAGACTGTTCACGTCACGTCTGCCCAGCCAGAGACTGTTCACGTCACGTCTGCCCAGCCAGAGACTGTTCACGTCACGTCTGCCCAGCCAGAGACTGTTCACGTCACGTCTGCCCAGCCAGAGACTGTTCACGTCACGTCTGCCCAGCCAGAGACTGTTCACGTCACGTCTGCCCAGCCAGAGACTGTTCACGTCACGTCTGCCCAGCCAGAGACTGTTCACGTCACGTCTGCCCAGCCAGAGACTGTTCACGTCACGTCTGCCCAGCCAGAGACTGTTCACGTCACGTCTGCCCAGCCAGAGACTGTTCACGTCACGTCTGCCCAGCCAGAGACTGTTCACGTCACGTCTGCCCAGCCAGAGACTGTTCACGTCACGTCTGCCCAGCCAGAGACTGTTCACGTCACGTCTGCCCAGCCAGAGACTGTTCACGTCACGTCTGCCCAGCCAGAGACTGTTCACGTCACGTCTGCCCAGCCAGAGACTGTTCACGTCACGTCTGCCCAGCCAGAGACTGTTCACGTCACGTCTGCCCAGCCAGAGACTGTTCACGTCACGTCTGCCCAGCCAGAGACTGTTCACGTCACGTCTGCCCAGCCAGAGACTGTTCACGTCACGTCTGCCCAGCCAGAGACTGTTCACGTCACGTCTGCCCAGCCAGAGACTGTTCACGTCACGTCTGCCCAGCCAGAGACTGATCACGCCACGCATGCGCCGCCTGAGCCCTCAGTGACCGCAACACTGGCCATTATGGCCACAGCCATGTGGTGTGTGTGGGCTACGCACACCCTTGAGCCAGAGCCCGCTGATCCTGCGCCAGAGCCCGCTGATCCTGCGCCAGAGCCCGCTGATCCTGCGCCAGAGCCCGCTGATCCTGCGCCAGAGCCCGCTGATCCGGCGCCAGAGCCCGCTGATCCTGCGCCAGGGGCCGTTGATCCTGCACCAGAGCTCACTGATCCTGCGCCAGTCCTGTCCAGCGCAGAGTTTCCTTCGCCGCTGGTTCTGCTTAGCTCAGGGCCCTCTTCACCGCCGTGGCCGCCCGAGGGGTCTTCACCGCCGTGGCCGCCCGAGGGGTCTTCACCGCCGTGGCCGCCCGAGGGGTCCTCTCCGCCGTGGCCGCCCGAAGGGTCCTCTCCGCCGTGGCCGCCCGAAGGGTCTTCACCGCCCTGGCCGCCCGAAGGGTCTTCACCGCCCTGGCCACCTGAACTGCCTGCTCCACCCTGGTCGCCTGCACAGCCTGGTCTGCCCACGCTCCATGGCCCAGGTCCACCATGTCCTGGTCCCGTTCCCCTGTGCGGGCCTGGCCCTCCATCCCTCCCCCAGACCGCCTCCGCTTCACCACCCTCCTGAACTATTGTTTTTTGTTTTTATGGGCGTCGGGAGCCGCCCATAGGGGAGGGGCTATGTCACGGTGTGGGTTTTGTGTTTTGTTCCTTGTTCTTGTCTGTCATGTGATTCCCTGTTTGTCATGTTATCCTGCCATGTGTCTTGTCTTTTGTCATGTTGTTGCTCAGTGTCCACAGGTGTTCCTCGTCTATGTCTATTAGTCTCCCCAGGTGTCTCTTATTAACCACGCCCCCTTGTTATCTTGTTTAGCTTGTTTGTCTGTGTATTTAAACCCCTGTGTTTCAGTTGTTGGCTGTCGGTTGTTGTTTAATGTTACTACTGTCTTGTTCTGAGTTCCCTGGATTTCCTGTTTGTTTCTGTTTAATTAAATGTGCTTGCGATTGGATTCACTCTCTGTTTCATCCTTGCTGCCGCGTAACAGATGGTACCCAAGCCAGTGTATTTATATAAGGAATCAGAAATATCACTATTACGGAATAATAAACTGTTCCACATGAAGTAGAAGAGGATGATTAATGACCTCTTAATGAATGCTGTTTTTGAACTTCATAACAGGTCACATTATTGTTTTAATTGTCTGCTGACCACCCACACACTTATATTGTTTATAATTGATTTTTTTTTTATTAAATTAGAAAAATGCAGATGTTATGTACATACATACATGTGCATGCATATCAACCATAATTATTTGCTTTTTATTGCATCATATCAGGAAAAAAATTATAATGTTATAAAATTGAAAAATCTACTAAAAGAGATATCAGATCCTAAGGGGAAACTTACCAAAGGCATGTGTACATGCTAAATAATAGAAATGAAACACAATACTTAGACTCTTAAAAAGGAAAAACTGCAAGTCCAGTCTTGAAAGAGACAAAAACAGACTGCACAGCTTCTCAGCACGTGTTTTCAATGGGAAATCAACGGCATGAGCAATTGATTATGATTATACATCTCACTGAATCCCTGCCAAGTATTCCAATAAGATCACACAATGTGTCCTTAAGAATTCAGATGTGCACGGGCATGCGATTACCCAAACCGTGCTTTACACAAATATGCACAAATAAACTCTTGATGAACTCAAATGAACTCTTGCAGGGCTGTGTGTTTTTGACAGATGCATGGCATGTAGCAGGAGTGATCTTACAGACCTCTCTGAATGATGATATGGTAATGGGTCTGAGGCTCTGATCCAGCTCATTCCAGAGCTACAACATCACTGAACTGTGTCAGCGAGCAACATGAGTGCAAAACGATGAAAAATACTACCAAATTATTCAATGTTAATGCTGAAAAAAATTATTTTTGTGTAGTTTACCAGTGAAAATATCCAAGAATCTTTAAAATAAGATATAGGGCACAACGGGGCTAAAGTTGCACGGGGGTAAAAGGCAGCTTTGATTTTGTTTTCCTCTAAATCACTCAATGGCACAAAAACTTGCCGCAGCACTTTCCAAAACATCCGCTTTTCAAGACGTGGGAATTTGGCTGATCTTGGACGCGATCGTGGACAGCAACGCAAAGTTGATTCTGCACTTATTTAATCTAATTTGATGTTTTTTTAAATGTTGTAAATTTAAGTACCAAATAAGAATCTCTAAAATTATTGAATATATTTTAAGACAAAGGTCTTCTTAATGATTTGCAGTTTTGTTCAAGGTTAATAAATCAACAGTTTGAACAAGTATTAAATTAGACATAAACATATTATTTTACCTAAAGTATATCAATACTTTGTGTCTTTTGCCACAATACTTTGTAGCCCACCTTGCCACCTCATACATAACATACCTCATACACAAGATTTTGGAACAAAATAAACCACTTTTATTTTACCACAAATTCTGTTGCTTCATCGATGTTCAATAGAAACATATAATTTTTTATGCAATTATTATCATGCCGTCATAGTTGTTATATTTGTTGTGTTTCACCTGTGACCTAGTTTTCCCATGCGTTTAATTAGTCATTTAGTCCACATGGTGTTCATCAATTATCTTTTTAGTTCCCTCATTTAGTTCCTGTATAAGTACTCCCTGTTTTGTTCAGTTCTTTGTCTTGTCTTGTCTG